TGAGGACTGGCAGGCTGTACATCCATAAGTCCTTCCTTGTGGGAATTTTCAAACCATCAGCATCAGCCTTTCTGTTCACTGCATCGCCGTCATAAAGTAACCATTATTTCTGTGGAATCTAGGGCAATAATGCATGTGCGTTATCTGGCGTATAAATCTCCCCGCTCCAGTGAGACGCAACACTGCATAACCACAGAGAATGTGAAGGCAGATTTAAAGGAGAAACTCTTAAAATTGAAGTAATTGCAATTAGACAGCCTCCTAATGAACTAATTAGAAAATGCTCTGTAGCTTAGCAAATCTCCTGAAAGGCTCTGTGTTCTCTACTAAGTGTATTAGTGCTTGACTGTCCATCGCTGATAATGGGGAAAAAGCATATGGCTGTCTCCCAACCCTGGTCACATCCCAAGGTGACCTTAAAAGCCTTTTTATTTTTGTGTCCTCGCTGTATGTCCATCAGGATGGTTCCTGGGAGTCAGTCCAACTTTGTCTTTTCCTGATGAGTTTTCTGTTTGTGCTTTTTGCCTCAGAGGAAGTTAACCTTTCAGTGATAGTGCAGCAATGCAGCTGGTGGCATAAAGGTGGCATAAAGTCATGATGGCTTCGAATGTTCACCAGGTGGCATAAAGTCATGATGGCTTCGATTTTAAAGTCAACCTGTCGTGGTGACCGTATCTGTGTTTGATGGGATTTAATGGCAAAACAAATCTGACACTTTAATAATTTTGTCCTTTATTTGGGTTTTATTTACAAATCCCCTGACACCATCGTCAATAAAACAATCCCGCAAATATTAGCTGCACTGCTGAAGCCTGCAGTTTTACTCAGTGTCAGGGAGCTCCACACATGGTACCTCAATGTACTCACTGTACCTGTGCTGAGTCATTGTATTCAATTTTGACACCCTTTTTTTCTTTTTAGAAAAATAAGCATTAAAATTCAGATCCAAGGAGTAAAAGTTTAATCACAACAATGAAAGTCCTGACTCTTTGGTGTCTTTGATTTTAAAGCAGGTGTGATCTAATCCATGAATACATAAGCTCATCTGACAGTAGGACCAGCTCCTCTCTTGGTGATTACGCTTGCTTGCAAAAGTGACACAGCAGTTTTTGTTTTCCCGTTTGCCTCCCAAATGTAGGCATCTGATTGGTTCTCCGCAGTGGAGGGGGTGAGAAGAAGCAATTTTGGCTTAGTCCTGATGAGCACGGCCTTGTGGGAAATCAGTGTCGTGGCAGCTCCTGTAATTAGTTCTGCTTGTTAGAAAAATGGAGGGGTTACTAATTAGCAAGTGGGTGACTTCATGACTTGTTGTGCGTATTTTCCCCTCCCTTCCTTGAAGATCATCATTATCAACTTCAGGCAAAGCAAACGTGCACAGAGAGAGAGAGAGAGAGAGAGAGAGAGATTATGAGCTTCAGTCTGGATGGACAATTCTGGAAGGTCACCCTGTCATTCTCTGAGAGACTGTGAGCATGTGCAGACAGTGGTCTGGAGCGGAAATCTTTATATTTGGACTGATCACTGTGCATCCTTTTACACTTTTGCGAAGTAATAACATCTACAAGTTCAATGTTACACAATATCAGGCATGTCAGCAATGCATCTTCTCAAGCCTGTACTTTTCAATTCATCTCTTTTTTTTTTCTTCACTTCAACTTTAGATAGTATTTCAAATCATTTTTAAAGACTGCTTTAAATATTTGGCAACCTTTCTTCCACGTCTTTTTTTTTTTAGCTTGGGTCTCATTTTAAAAATGACACCAAGTGATTGCAGGACACACTTTAACAGAAATTGTCTATATACTGTATATAAACATATACTCCATATCTAATAATAATATTATTAAAATAATATTTTTCAAGTTTTGCTGCAGATTTCCTGCACTTCCTATTGATTTTATGTTTTAATCTTTCTGCCTCTTCCTGCTAGACAGTTTCACCTAACCTAATGTTTATGGGACGCTGCAATGCTCTTATCAATTACAGCACCAAATGAAGTGCCACCAAATTAATTTTTTTTTTAGAAATTATTTTATTTTAGGTTAAGTGAAATCTTGAAGCAATAGCTGAGAATGTGTTGACTTGAAAAAACAATGTTCCTATCTACCAAAGGGGTCGCTGCAGAGAGTTTTGAAAGCAATGTTGTTGTAGTGTAGTGTGTGTAGTGTTGTAGTGTAAGACTTAACAAGGTTTGATATAAAACAAAATTGACATATTCTTCTAATTTAAATATGTTTTAAGACAAACTGTAATTAAGAAAGTCACTGATAAAGAAAACAGATAATGAGGAATGAAGAATCTTTAGTCAACTTTGAATCTTCCCTTTTCTTCAGATTATGTCACCAAGTCCACAAGACAGTCAATCAAAATGTGACCACTGGCTGTGGTCACATTTTGTAGAATAGCCCAGTATTTGCTGTTTTTGATGAAATCATAAAGGCCTTCTATCATAGCCACTGTTCGCCTAGTTAGCATAGAATAACAGATAACATGTCTGCTAATCAGCACAGAAATTGAGCAACAATTCCAAATGTGGTCCTTGTCAATTTATTTTTTGAATCTACCAAAAAATTCCTGAAATGTAACTCGTGACATTTTCATACTCAGAAGTCAGCTGAGCAGTAGCTGGAACATGACATTGCCTTTTTTTAGTCGTTGTTAAATTCTCAGTAGTTCACAGGACACTGTTCGCTGTAATGATAGCTGCACCTAGAGAGACAACGAGACTCAGTGTCCCCCAATGATACGTTGTAATTGAAAAGAAATGAGGTGGAAGTGATATGTACATCCAGCATATGTAATGTTGAAATGTTGGCCCTGCGTTTCATCATTCATCTAGGGTATATTAAGGACTAATCCGAGGATTTGAGGAGCCAAGCACAGCTACGCTCGAGTTAATCCATCAATCACTGACGACCAGAAAATGTAAAATATTTAAATAGAATATAATATTCGCCTTAGTCGATGTGGCTTTGATGTTATAAAAGAATATGCAAATCCAATATCTCCAGAAATAGACTGCTTTTGTGTCTTCTCAGATTTCATGGGAGATAGATTATAATCCCCCTGCCGATGTCGGAAAGCGGGGACTCGCAGCTCTGCTCTCGGCGTTCCACCAGCGCGCTCTGATCCCCGCCCCCTCCCCCAGTTTATGCCATGGGGCAATTTGAGAGGTGAAAGCGGAAGTGTTTTCACATGATGTCACACTGACGCTCGATAATTCTCCTTAACGCGTTGTTACATGCAGGCGGCTGCAGAGGGACGTTGATCTGTTTGAGCTGATCCGTTTCCAGGAAGGATGCTGATGTGACATTATATAAAAGCTGAGAGAGGACAGTGATGTCAGTCAACACACACACACATCCTCAGGACCACCCATGTGCGATTAGTCATATATTGAACACTGGTTTAATAAATGAGCCATAGGGTGATCTTTTCATGTCACAATCTCCCTTTCTCACTTACCTGACTGACTTGCCATGGCAAATGATGTTGACAAATATGTAACTTTTTCCACCTCAGTGGGAAAGAGAATTTGACATTAAATGTAATATTAAAATGGGGCTTGAGCTTAGAGCTGAAGAGTTGTTTCTGAAATATTTAAATTTGCTTTATTTTGTTGTTTTGTTTTGTTTTTTGTCGGGGGTAGGCTTGGGGGGGGGGGCAATGTTCCTTTTCTTAATTAATTCCTGCTAATTACTCATGGTCTGAGCAGCTATGCAGCTTGCTAATATATGCTAATTTATTAGTTGTTAAGACTGTGGAACACAATGGTTAGTGACATTCACAACAGCAGTAACAGCTGATTGTTCTTGTGAAAAAAAGAAAAAAAGAATCCACGTAACACAAGTTCTTTCAAGTTATCTAGGGTTTGATCTGACGAGTCGGGGTGTGAAGTCCTAACATTAAGTCTTTTGTTATTAATATTTAATCCAGAAGTCTACAGGGAATTACTTTTACTCCCACACAAGCATTCACATCGTGAACCAGAGTTAACTCCACACTCCCACTTCCTGCATTATCAGGAGATTTAACATTCAGTGCAATCATTCTCCACCAGATGAATCACTCAAAAAGCCCAAATCTGGCCGTCTGAATGTACGTATTTACCCCGCGATGATGCCTCCTTTAGTTTAAGGAACGTTTTATAAAATATTATTATTTCCCTCGACATGAACACTATACACGTTTCAGGAAGAACGCCGCATAGGCAGCGAAGTAAAGCTTTGATGCACTCTCACACACCCTCGTGTTGCTGCAGATAAAGTGAACGCAACTCAGTCAGAGGGTTGGTGAAAGGCCTTTGTTTCAGAGATAGACCGTTACAGTAGCACACATGACTAAGAAAGAGGCCTGTCGAGAACAGTGTTAGAGGATGGAGTCACTTTGACCCCAAAGGCTCAGAGTTTGGGTTTTTACTATAGAAGCATAGCAGACGATAAAACCTACAGTAAGTGTTAATTAAAAGGCAAATCAAATAATTAATCAAATGAGATAAAACAAACAATCATGGTACCTTCATTTTTTAAAGTCAACCAACTAAAACCACAGACATAAAAGGCACATTATCTAAAGACCTGTAATATGAAACTAGAGGTTACTACTTTACATAGTATATATATATATATATATANNNNAGATTTCATATATCGTTTTTATTTGCTTTCCAGCTTCTCTTGCTGTGTTGTTTTCATTTTGATGATGAACATTTATGCGTGGTGGTAAGAATTTCCTTGTACATCCGCTATAATTTTGAATGATCATTCTTATGTCACTAGGGTTGTGACCGAGGTGGTAGTTGGAAAAAGTCGTGTCTCTTGAGTCTTTGTCCCTGTAACAGTTTTCACTGTTCATCTCTTAAAGTTTGTCATTAAGTCTCCATTATTTTATTTTTTTTCATTTTATCTGTCTGGTCCTGTGTGGTATGCTTCACATCTATGTCCTGTTTTCTCTTTTTCTTTCTCTCCCTACTCTTACTCCTCCTTCCCTCTGTGTTGGAGGAGAAGACAAGTCCCGGGGCACCAGAGGATGACGGCAAGTTGTCGGTAGGTCCTGTCTGACTGACACTTCCTCTGTCTGCTTCAGTGTTTGTCCCCGTTTCTATGTAGATGTAATAGCCGAGTTGTGTTTCTCCTACTGTACTGCCAACAGGATGTGCATGTTATCGCTAACCTTAAGTCTTTCTGCTTGCAGAGCACAGCTCTCTGTTTTCTGGGCTGTTTATTATTTTGTAAACCACTGCACTTTCACAAAAGATAAGGTGCAAATGGAGACAGTAAAAACAAAATAACTGAAAGATTTTTGCTGTCCTTGCTCCGCTGAGACCTTACTCAAACCCCCCAACTATTAGCCCGGGACAGTTCCTGTGTCTACGTTTCCCTGTGGGCAACCAAAGACTAAAACACTCCAAACAGCTGCCACTCATGATGCTGCCTAATTACCCACAGATCCCAGGTTCATCTGCAACTTAAAGAGTGACCTTCAACGGGCTGGATTGGGAAAACTGTCAAAGCCTTTGTCAACACATCAAAGGCTGAGCATCTTTGGTGTTACTCTGTTCAGATGTTTAGGGTTCATGCACAGACGGACATGGGATACAGGTGAAGATGGAGGAACCTGCATGAACAAAGTGGTCAAGAAACAACATTTTTTTGCAGTAATGTAATTTATATACATATAATAAAGTAATCCTGGTCATTAGCCAGATTTAAAGATATGTTTATGCTAGAATTATTACGGTAATTTACTCTATCATTTGCTCTGTTTTCACACACACACTCTTATCTCTTTTTCCAGACAAGGCCACGGCTGCAGAGGGGGGGCAGCTCCGCCTCCCTGCACAACAGCTTGATGAGAAACAGCATCTTCCAGCTCATGATTCACACATTAGACCCTTTGAGTGAAGGTAAGACGGTTAAAAAAAATGTGACAAAGGCCAATGTAACTCTTGAAGTCTTCATCGCCTTCCATTGTACAGCACAGATGTTTCTGTGTTTGAATGGAGGTGTAGGCAGGAGTGCAACACTACACACAAACCTTGAGAAGTACCAGAAAATCTTTAACAAGTGGTAACATCCTTGTACAAGTGGCCCCGAGGTTTTCCCCCCGTGCACCAATTACAATACTATCGACGGGTAGAAAACATTTGTTTATTCCCCATACACTTGATTTCCTCTTTAATCCAAATCGAAGGCCTGTGAGCTCAGTTAAAGGGAAGCTTACACAATCTCAGCTCTCAGAGAAGAGGACAAGTAAGCTGGTATACCAGGAGAGTCAGAGTGCAGTAGATGTACATGGGTCTGTGTGTCCTATATTTTACTCGATATTCTTTGCTTTAGAACATCAGCCCCAGTATGTTTAGAATCCAATACCACCACAGGAGCAAGGTGCAAAGGCCATTCATACCCACCAACAGCGTGTCTTTATATTTCCTGTTAGGGGTTGGATGTGAGTGTGTTAGTCAACGTAAGGATTCATTTCAGTTTTTGTCTACGCGTCTTCACATTCCACGAAAGCCGAACCTAGAATGAGTCATTTCAGGAAAGATTAATAAGCCGTACCAAGACGGGGCCTTAAAGTGCCCATTAACGCGTATCCGCTCATTGTCATAGGCAGACGCGAGGCGTCCCATCTGCGTTTGTCCTTTCATCGCTTTGATTAAATGTAAATGGGAATAGTAGAAGTCAGTATGGCTGCTGGTAAATGTACGACAGCATTGTGAACACTCCGTCTTCTTTTATGACCTAACTTGGCCTACAGACATGTAGCATGAACAGTTTATGGGATTCAATAATATTTAGTAACTATGTGATGTCATTAAAAATACAATAGATCGGACGGTACATGCTGGAGGAAAAAGGTTTCAGGTTTTGTTAATCTGTGATCTTAAATGTCAGCTCAAATTAGAATATAATTATAATTAGTGCAACAATAAGGGCTTTCAAATGATGGAAAAGTTTTAGTCAGAATAAATGCAATTAATCATGATTAATTCTTAGTACTGAATCAGGATTAATTAGAATTAAATGGCATAAATCAACAGTATAAAATATGATACATAGTATTTTATAATACCTGTGATATTTACTCATCATATAGAAGAAAAAGATTTCACGTGTTTCTATTTGTGACTAATCCAATTTGCGGAGTAATAAAAATGTGAAAAATATGCTAAAAAAAATCATTTTAGTTGTTACTCTGCATCTCAACAAAAAATAGTCCTCAAAAATAATTGCAATTTACAGTCCCTCGCGATCCATTATGGTGTTAATTTAGACACCCTAGAAATAATTAGTGCATAAAAGAACTAATGATATTTGGCAAGGTGAAACAATGAACATTCAGCAGTGACACTCATGTAAGTCACACATACCTGGTTGGATTCAAATTATTTGAAAGTAAAGAAATAAATTGAATTACTCTGAATGTTCTTCTCTGCAGAGATTAGCAGCTGCATCTCACATTTGCCCCGACTCACATTTACTGGTATTAATGCAGAGAAGCACTTTGTCATCTGACTGTACAGAAAGAGAGAGAGAGATGAGCAGGTGCATCCATCAAAGATGGAGGCTGTGCTGCTTGTCCTTGCATGCTCTCAGGCTTTAAGTGATGCTCAGTGGGTCCACAGGGAACTGGCAGGACTCCACCTATACATTTTTCATAGAGCGTTTCTCAAAATAAAGTCCTTGCGCAGGCCGTTGTAAAGTTTGAATTGCTTTCCGAGTGCTGGGAAGTCTGCGTGTGTGTGTCTTTTTTGGTCTGTGTTTTTTTTAAGCATAAAACACTCCTCAGTTCTGACCAAAGACATCCAGGGCTTTGGATAGCCACAGAGCAGATAAGCTGTGATTACAGTACTAACCCTCTAGGTCTACATGATTTAACTGGAGTGACCAGCGTCGGTGCATATCAAACAGGAGTGCGTTCGTAAGCATGGACGTCTCTCTCTCTCACTCTCTCTCTCTCTAAAACAAATGGAATTATTTTAAAATGTTCCCATCCAGGGAAAGATGACTGCCGTGGATACTAGGTTGACTACATGCTCATTATGTTAGCTTAGATTTTTGTATGTGGTGGATGTGAAATCACAGTTAGCTTTACATGCAGACTGGAATAATCCTTTCATAAGAACTTTGAGGTTAAACCCGAGGTCACAGCAATTTATTTAAATGCATATCTCAAACTTCATGCAAAGAAAAATCCATTATGAAATATTAAACTTGCTCACAATTGATGTGTATTCCAAATATTGGGCTAACCATACTGGCTAGAATTCCCCATACATTTCATGCAGTTTTCTCATTTCCAATGCCTAATTCCTATGCCTACATGTACCATCTCAGACTGAATATCACCTGGATTTATCTTTTTTCTCTTTCTGTCTATCTCTCTTCCTTCTACTGTCACCTCAGAATTTGCTGACTCTGGTGAGTTATTCCTAAAATATCTGTGTCTCCCTCCCTTTTTCTCCCTCAATATCTGTTCGTTCTCTCTCCAACGGCCTGGAGGCAACTCTCTTTTGCCCTACGTGTCCCCTATGTATACATGTCCCAAGCGCCGCTGTGCTGTGCTGTCAACTCTGTACTGTCCATCCCTGCAGACTCCTTCAAATATGGCATTTCTCTTTTGTGGATGTTTTCCTCCCCGGAAACCCTCTGTGACCATCTCTGCATTGTTTTTTTGTCCATCTCCCCTCATCCTCTCTCTCCTCTTATGATCTGCTTCTGTGCTAAGCTTTGTGTTTGACCCAGGCAGAGGCCCAGAATGAGTGTTTTGGTTTTTGTCTTAACCCTGTCGTGCAGCTCTGTGTCTTCAGGTGTCTACTTTGTACGTGTACGTCATAAAAGATGTTATTTTCTGTGCTTTGTTAAAGCAGAGGTAAAAACTGCAGTGGAAGGAAACACAAGTGATGTTTCTCCAAATGTATATATATTTATAAAACAACCTTTTAGGTTTCTGTGCTTGTGACCAAGCATTGTTCCTGAGTAATGGTCGACTCTACTGTTCTTTTAATGATGGTTAAACTCACTGTACCGACTTGTGGCCATTAAGGAAATGACACCATTCACATAAGCCTTATGTTTACTGATATTCTCTTGGCCACATCAAATTCTGATCGTTAGTTACGACACGGAGAAGCCTGTCTTTACCAACGGTGAAAATGGCAAACGTTCCAATAACCAATTTTGTAAGTAAACACCCATGTACTGTACATTTTGAGAGTTTTGGAAAAATGTTCAAGCACTGGATAATACATTTGAAGTACATATAGTTTTAAAAAAGCAGCTCTTTTTCTTTGTTTACTTAGAACAGTGGTTCTCAAACTGTGGTACTGTGGAGCGCGCTCTAGTGGTACATGGGGAAAATTCATATTTTAACATTTACATTTTCAATTGAATAAATCTGAAACATACCATGCACAATTAATACAACATTTAAACATAAACATCTTTCTAAACATCTTTCTAAACATCTCTCCTGTGGTGGAAGCTAACAGTGAAGGCCTCTGCTGCTGTATTCTAATGTTGGACATCATGGTGGTACTCAGAGAGATCACTGTTTTCTCAGGTGGTACAGAGGAGAAAAAGTTTGAGAACCACTGACTTAGAACATTGTAATAATGCGATAGTTAGTTCCAAGGACAAGTGCCCGCCTGACTTTCTTCCATCAACATGAAGTTAGAGACAACGTCTCTTAAAAGGACTGTGAAAGGAGACAGTCAGAGTTGCTCACAATCTATAGTCTGGGTTTTTTAGTGCATGACTGGAACAAGTCTCCAGAAACAGCACTCAGAAGTCAGACTGCCTTCGACTCAGTCATTGGCTCAGACCTTCTCGATTTAAGAGGCAAGAATATTGACTCTCTGGTGTCTCGCTATAGGCACTTTATGGACTGATTCTGGACTGGTTCTGGATAGTTGCTATTGTCCGTCTTTTATACTCCCTCAAACGAGGTCATAACCAACAAACTGACAGTTGTCTTGTGTTTGAGACGAGAAACTCTCCAAACATCGAAAGAATTCCATTCAATAAATTAATCTGGCCTCGGCTCACTGGGTGTCACATTTGGAAGTAAGTGGTGATTCCCTTTAGTTGGTCTGTATTTCTTGCAACATGCAAGAATGGCAGATTTTAGAACAAGAAAACATTGGGACCCAGTTTGTGCGGTTAATCATCGATGTTAACATTGAAATCAATACCTCTTAGGAAGCAAATGCTACACCACTGTATAAATAAACAATGCAACAAAGGAGGGAAAGTAAGCTTTCATTACATAACAGTTTGAGCTCTCCGTCATCTGACATTTAATTATTTAATATCCAGCCATTCTGATGGAAATCAATTATTATGGCCAGCATGTCCAGTTTGCCCCGTCCTAATGCTGCCCCTGCCAGCAGCACTGTCTGTGACCCAGCGCCCATTGATCACATGGCTCAATAACACGCTCCCTGTTCCTGACCTCCCACTCCTTCTGCAGTGGAAATATAGTTTCTATATAATGACATTGACCCGGCTGCTGTGGTTTTTCAGCACACTGCATGATGGTTAGTACATATCACGTTAAAATGGTCAGGGTCATAAAAAAACGTCTCGCTTCTTTTGAATTTATTACACACAGTAATGAAACATAATTAAAGTTTGTTAACTATTAAAATTAGGGTAATAGTAAGTGACCAATCAGCTTAATAGGATCAGATCCAATGGCAGATTTAGCTTCACTAAAAGAAAATAAATTTCCCCAGCTCCACTGATTGTCATCTCGGTCCCTTTTTTATTAATTGTCAATGATTTTGCCTGATATTGAGCTTTGAAGTCGACGTCTGTTGAAAATGCACGGCTCATCTGTTGGAGGCGTGCCTTAGTAACATCACTCTTTACTAATCAGATACTGCTTTGACACCACATCTCCTTTATTTTGCTCTGGTATATAATAACACCTTCATGTTATTTAGGTGTGCACCAACACACACATCACACATCACACACAGTCGACCTATGCTCGACGGGTGAAAGGATCAATGTTAAAAGCTTTTTTTGCCACAGCTGAGGCTGACGCCACAACCCCCAGCAGACAGGCCGGGCATGCACACACATGAACACACACACACACACACACACACACACACACTGTGTTGCCCAGCCCACCAGAGGTTTAGAGGTCACGCAACAAGGACAAGAGGGCCCATGGTAAACAACCACAAGTCTCTCTCTCTCTCTCTCTCTCCCTCTCTCTCCCTAGCTGCAGACAGCCCTCAGGTGAATGTAGGAGTTGATTGTGTTGTGGGTTAATTGCAGGCAGAGTGGCCAGACTTGGGGGCTGGCCTCACAGTCTCAGTGCACTTCAAAAACAAAATGGCCTAATCACACAGGATTGAGGCACTTGTCTGGGAGTGCAGCAGATGAGCGAGAGTGGAAAGGTTTTTATCATTATTTTATTAACTCGTCAGATCAGGCCTTTTTGGCTTCCAAACCTCGCAATTGGTATGAGAGTCACAGCATCACCGTCTGGTTGATAACATATTGTAAATATGCGCATTAATGCATGTGAACTTGTAAAGACAGACATGATGAAAAAAGACACTATGATGAGCTGTTGAGATTTTTCAAAATAAAACTGTAAGATTTGTCATAATTAATGCACCCCTCCTCCTGATTAACCAACCTCCTGATGGAATTATAATGACAAATCATTTTTATTATTAGTTTTTAATAATAAAAATGAATTATTAGTTTTTAGCAAGCCATATTTCCCAACATCCTCTTTGAAGATAAAAACTGATATTTAAAAGTGTAGACTCTGCAGTATTTTGCACCTGCAAATTATTCATTATAACATACAGAGAAGCAGACGTGCCAGGTATACTGTATGTCCAAGAGAGTAAGCTCTTGGACAAAGCTTTGCTAAAAACAGAATTCGCCCTGAAGAGTGGGCAGAGCAGCCTCACGCTGTGATCTACTTTCCCACATGCATCGGCACGTGGGCAGGCAAGTCACATAGTCCGGTTTAGTCTGTGATGTGTCTTTGTGCTTGTTTTTTTTGCCGTGGGTTTGAATTCTGGGCTACTTCATCATAGCCGTGTTGCTGACTGTTTGTTTGTTGCAGTGAATGTGCTTGAGTAAGGAAATCAAAGTAATAGTTGGGTTTGTTTCATTGTGGAATAAAGTCATCCGGTCTTTGAGTAAACTTGCGTCCAGAGGAGAGGAGGACTCATTCTTTTGTTGCATGTTGACCCAGTGAACCTACTCTTGACATTTCTGTTGTTTTTTTTTCTCTGATCATAACACATTATTTTCTATTTTTGTGGTTTCTTTCATTCTCATAAAAACCATCTCCATATGTCATTGTATTAAACAATGGCATACTCTTCATTCACACTGAAATCCTGTAATGTTTCATTTGTAATTCAATCCTTGCTGCTATGTTTTGCACTTATGCAGTGATGACTGGGGCACACTGTTGGTGCCTGTGTGTGTGGAGCCAGCAGACCGGTCCTGTTCTACCATGTTCACTCTTTTCCTTTTTCTCTGTGTGTCCGCTGCCTTACCCCTGTCTTTTGCTGTGATGTTGTAGAGCTGGGGACTTATGGGAAACTAAAATATTATCACTCAATGACTGAGGAAGGTAAGCCTGAACGTTTTCACTATTTGATTCTTTGAGCCAGCTTCTGCCATCCCTCTTGGTTTTCATCTCCGTCTCCATCACCTCCAGTCCTGTTTTATTTTGTTTGCCTGTGACTCTAGAGTTTCCACACCGTTGTTTTTTAGTTGACAGTCTGTCTGAGATTTCACTGACATAAGTGCAAATCATGGTGGCCATGTCATTTATTTCTTTACATCAATGTTTTAAATACATCTGTATTATTTTTTTTTTCAAAAGATGTCATGTACACAGTGTTGTATGGATTTTGATTCTTTTAATCAGTTAATGATGGATCAATAATTGGTTTGTGCTCGTGGTTGACAAACACCGACAATATTATGGCCGAAGATTAAAATTCATCACCATCTCCTTCCCTCACCGTGACACTCTTGAGAAAACACGAAGAACACGTCTTTCTTTTCAGTTTTTTTTTCATTGTTTCTCATTTCTTCGGTCCTGTTGTCCATCTGCGTCGCTGAGAAACACGCCACCCGTGCCTCAGCACTCACTTGGTGGTTGTACTAGCTCCAGCAACGAGTGCGCACACTTTTGTGTGGCGTTACTGAATTTGGCAAACGGGAGTGACTCATGCACACTGTCGCTTTGTAACGAGCAGAGCTGACAGGGAAAATGAAAGGGCTATTTCAAACAAATACACTGCAGACGCACAGGCCAGTTAGTCTTTAAAGACTCTGAAATTGCTTCATTTTTATGTAAATTGTGTGATTTGGGTTATGTGCGCACTTTAAATGGGCCCCTCCAGCACTGTGTGAACTAAAAATAGAACCTCATCTGAGAAAAACTCCAGCTCAATTTGTTTCTTAATGTTAACACATTTGTTTGAAGGCAGCCATTTTGGGTTTTTATCCCCTCTGATCCGGTTGGTTATTGTACCTCAGGGAACTTTTTACACTATGATAAAACTTTCCTTTTTTGCCTTAACCAATAGTTTGCACCAAAAGTTTAAAACAGTGGTTCGTGTGCGTTGCAGCTCAAACACATACACGTGTTTGTGTTTTTATATATATATATATATATATATAAAACACTTTATATTATTATTATTATTATTTTTTAATTGCAAAAAATGAGCAAAACCTCTTTTTTTCTTTATCGTCAATGGGAATGTTTTGCCGTTCTTTCACATCTAACGATGCCAAAAAGACGAGGCCAAACTCTGCCGCTTGACTGCCCATATCGCCCACCCACATTTGTCACAATCTCACTCAATTTCACACTAATAACAGCACACAACCACCCGTCAGTGGCCACCTAAGGTGAGTTATGTCAAGGCGAGGAATGTGTGATGGCGGTGGCGTTTGTGAAATGTGGAAAGTTTTCTTGTGCGTCGTGTTGAGCATGATACAGTGTTGGATAAAAATATTCCAAATGACAAAAAGACAAAGTGGGAGAACAAAACTGTTTGTAAAAGAAAGTTAGAAAAAGATGGCGTGAAAGGGAGAGAGAGGAGGCGCCGGAAACACAAGAGGAAGGCCAGTAGTGACTTGTGTGGCTAATGAATCTGCCGGAAGGTCACAGACAGTGTTGACATGGCTGGGTAGAGTGCGTTATTGATGCATCAGTGTGTCAAGCACTGACAAATCAGCCATGCCCTCTTAAAACGAAGGGAAAAAAAATCTATTGAATTGATTGCGGTGGTTTGAGCTGGACAAGGCACAGACTGACACGCACAGGAAGTGGGTGGAATTTGATACGGGTGCAGAACTGCAATGATGCATTTAACATGAAAAACAACACACTTTATTTTAAATAGAAAATATAAAACTACACACGACAGGTGTTGGCCATATTGTAGTATCTCCGTGAGTTTGACATTTTGAGGAAAACCCTGATTTAAAAGGTGCTACCAGCCAGTCATTCAAAGTCATTACGACACAGTCAGAAGTGCCTTGAGCTGTTGTTTGTGATGTCAGAAGGCCACAAGGCTTATGTAAGCCACAAGGTCGTGGCACTGCATCGACAGCTGCTTTTATTTCACTCTCCTGCGTGACAGCATTAAAGTCACTGGTCGTGTGTATACGACTGAGAGGGTTATTGATTATGTTAGCGTCAATGGAAGCACTTTATATTTTGTTGCAATAGAGCGGTAGACATTATACCACTGTAATAATTATTTTTGCTGTCCCCCATTTTCTTCATCAGCCTAATCCCAGCTTCCGACGTCCCCTTTAGATTGTAAGGTAATGAAGTAAATAAGAGCAGGAGTCTCTGTAACCTCCGGGAGGCGTCACCTCCACCGAGGACCAGGACATTGCAGGGTCATCAGCATATGATATGCTATGCTATATTGACTGTTGATTTTGTTTCAGTGGCACTCTGGTGTACACTACTGCCGTGTTTGAAATGTGTATCTGAAATGCGACTCGTTGGAGGTCAAAGGTGACAGAGGAGCGCTGACTCGGATGAGACCAAGAGGCTTTGTGTGAAGTTCAAAAATGTGCGGTGCTGGGCTCATCTTTTACCTTTGTGTCATTTCTTTTGCAGGCAAATTTCGAGAGAAAGCGTCCATCCTTCACAAGATCGCTAAAAAGAAATGCCAAGTGGAGGATAGTGAAAAGGCCAACGGAGTGGCAAGCCGTTCAGGTGATGATTTCAAATTGACATTAATGCTCTGTGGCAGAATAGTTTATAGCTTCCTGATAGAGTTAGCGCGGTTAATAAAAAGTAGAGTGTACAAGGCTAAGAGCAAATACAAGTTAATATATTTTATGGAGTTTCAATGTTCTTGTCCAGGGGTCTGCAACCTGTGGTTCCTGAGCCATCTGCTGCTCGCAATGATAATTTCAGTGTCCTTTTTTTAATAGCAAAACAACATGGTGTCATGATACTCTTCAAATTGAGATGTGTACTTTTATTAAATTCATATTGTCTTTATTTAGAAGGTGAAAATTACTTTGTTGCTCTGAATTGTATTTGGTGGTAAAACAATAAAAATGGTTCCTTCAGTGTAGAGTGTTGCACCTGTAACATAGTCTAGTGGTTCCTAAAGCGAAGGGCGGGCCCCTTAGGGACATTATTGCTGGTGGTGGTAGAGCATAGAAAATGAATATACGTGAGGATGCTTGACAATAGTCCTGTCTACAGACAGGGGGTGCTGCAGAAAAGATTGGGAACCAATACTATAGTCCATGGGTTGAGTTTCTTGTACGAGATTAGTTTGTTTTTTACCTGAATCTATTCTTGAAACTCTGATTTAAATGTTTTTTATCTCGTACAATGAAAACTTTTTGAAGTATGATCAGAGGAGTAAAAAAAAAGAAAAAAGCTTTTGAAACAAAGTTTTCAGAAATGAACATCTCAGGAGGAAAAAAACGGAGTCAGCAGTTATTTATACCAGCAGGAAAGCCAAGATGATGCTATTCTCCCTCATGACCACACAGTGCCAAACAACCACTTATCTCTGTGGCTGTACACCTCTGTGAAAATGCCGTGAATACATTACAATTAAAAAACACACAGTCTATTTTAAGAATAAATTTTTAAGCTACAATATGGTGGTATTTTCTGTCTTAGAATTGCATTATGGCCACCTTTGTGGCACATTTAAATGTGTAACATATTACTTTATGATGGGATTTTTCACAAAGATGTGTCTCTTAAACTGCACGTCTGCCTGACCTGGTTTTATATTTCTTCCATTAACAGATCTCTGTCCACTCACAAGTTAATTAGCTGCACGTCCCACGTTAAACAAACATGACATTATTGATAACTGCCAAATCTAGTGTAATCTTCAAGCGGCATTTAAACCAATCTCAGATGCTGACATGTGTTATTTATGTGTGATATTCACTTGAAAGAGCAAAAGACGATCAGGAGGCCAGAGGACGGGCTTTCATGGGCACCGCGCCCTCATGGAAGCAGAATCAAAGGAAAACATAGATGTTTAACAACAAGGTGCAATTATGCTAACAGCATTGCATTAACATATTAGCATCTTAATCCAAATGTATTTTAGTCTTCACATGTCTGAGACCCAGGCCATGTTTGTGTGAGTAGAGTTTCACCTGGTTCTGTTAAAATGATGATTTTCTTTTTTTTAATTTTCTTATGTGACTTCACACAAAGAAAGCATTTTCCTAATCATGTCACAACACTTTGGAATTGATAGAGTTTTTCCACAGCAATTATAGTGTTATCATCTGATTACGTGGCTTTTAGCTCTTTGTGTTTTAATAAGAGCTGTTGAGTTAGTCTGGCCTAAAATTAATGAAGTCAAAGCTGCACTCGGGAAGTGATGTGGCGGTGAGATAATGGTGGCTTTCACATACAGAAGGATGCCTTCAAGTGCTTCCTTATCATCTCATGTAGTGATGCATTCATGTTGTGCATTGTTGTAACATCATGATAAAATTAAAAAAAAATTTATTATGATGTTAAAAGAAATGTAGGTTTTTTTTAATTTTATTATGATGTTAAAAGAAATGTAGGACAGATATAAAATAGATATATTTATTCAAATAGCAATGATATTTTCCCACATATACTGCTTTTATTGAACTGATTTCTGATGTTGTGTTAGTTTGTGGCTCAGTCAATTCTTGTCTCTGTTAATTAAATATGGGTGTTTTAACTTCTTCTGGAACTGTGAAGATGATGAGGCAAAATTCTGTGTCCTACCCTGAAGAAAATGATGCTTCTGGTAGTAAAGCAGTCACATGAGAGATGCTCAACACAGAGGGGAAATAGCTGTTGTCTTCCACCTCTGTGCACGTCACAGCATCTGATGCTTTCACGTCTATTTGGAGCATCGACAGCTTCTGTTTTCATCCTAATTAATGTTTTCTAACGTTCCACAGATAAGAATCTTCCCAACAGCTCCAGTGTAGAAGTGGAGGTGACACCGCCCATGAATGGAACAGCAGGACAGGAAGGAGAGGCGGTAAGAAACGTCAAAAGTTGTTTTTCTCAAACTATCACACAGTTGGTTAATTGGGTCATGTGATAAAAAAAAACCTGAAGTAACTCTTGTCAAAGTCACAGAGACATTTATAAATACACAGTATGAGGCCTCTCACCTGCGTCTGTGTGCCACCTTGAGTGTGATTGATGCAGAGGTTGTGGGACACTACAGCACAGGTCACTGCTGCTGATAATTTCCCAGCATGCACCTAAGCAGAGTTCTTCCATCTCCACTCAGCCCGGCCAAAGACCCGCCTACTCCCACTGAGTTCTGTAATCACTCTGCTCATTCACCTGCTGCTCCCCCAAACTAAACACACACACCGACACACACACACACACACACAGGCAGGCAGCCTGTGACGTACAGCCTGGCAAAGTGAATCTCAGAATGACACCTGCAGCTGTTCTGTTGGCATGAACATTGATGGCGGGATGCTGCGACCAGCCAAACCAGCAGACAGTCCTGAGGCAGGAGGGCAGAGATTCAAAGTGGCTCAGTGAGAGGGAAGGTGTGTCGGTCATTCTCACTCCCATTACTGTTACCCAGGCAGTTCTAAGAAGAACCACCAAATCACATGGTTTTTAGAAGGTCGATGTTTGGTTGATAAAATTGTTTATATGTACACTGAGAGTCATTCTGTTTGTACGGTAAGTCTGTGTATATTGTTATTACATTACATTATTACGATACATTTAGCAGACGCTTTCATCCAAAGCGACTTACAATTCGAGTCAGTCAGTCAACAATCAAGCTACAGTAAACATACAAAATACAGAAAAACACAAGTAATAATAAATACTAAAAGATATAGTCATAGTAGGTCATAGAGTAAGAAGAATACTGTCATAAAATGTCATAACGATCACATATATATACACAGTATATATACATATATATATATACACACGCATATATACAGACATACTGTATATATACACACATATACACATATATACATAGATTGTACAATGGTGTACAATGTCTCTACTGCATACAGGCCATAAAGTCCAAGAATAGACCATGTGTTTATTGATTTGATTTTATTTCCACAAGATCAATCTTCCACTCTTGGGGCTAATAATAGTCTGATCTCCAGGCTGACAATGTTTGTGGCTCCAAAGTCAACGTCCTTTTTTTCCTCCTGTTTTAGGTGGAAGGTCTAAAGTCCGCCCAGAAACGACGCTATAACCGGGCAACCCTCAGCATTGGAAAGAGCTGGGCGCTTATTGGCACGCCTTCTTCTTACAGGCTGCTATTTTTAGACACCTGTCCCACAGTGCACCTGATCTTGTGTCTGCCAAGACGTTGCTGGAAGCAGATCCCACCTTGGTATCTGCCACCAGAGGCTCCGCCATACTAATGTTCAATTCCTCCAGGATACCTTGGCCTCTTACGGATTGGGAATTAGGGAATAGTTAAGGTCAAATTAAAAACTGAAGCAGTACCCCTCCTTCAGTATTGCATCAGTATTTTAAGTTTTTTTTCCATTAAAAATAACCATTGGATATGGAGGCTGGCTTTATATTTGATATTAATATTTAATGGGTTCCAAGAATTCTAATATCTCTTGGTAAGACTATGACCAATAATGAGCTCATTTAATCTTTTGCTGACTCATCATTTCCTTCTTCCTGACATATTGAAGATGTTGTTCTCTCGGTGCATGTTTTTAATATTTTTGAGCAAATAAAGCTAATTCCTTAATAACACACTGAGAGCCTAACAGAACTCAAAACAGACAGGATCTAATGACTCATCCTACCTTTTATCACAGCCCAAAATCTGAAAAATACACCCTACGGCCCTCTCATTGAACCTCAGCTAAAGATTGTAAGCATTTCAAATTTAAATTGATCCAAAAAGAGTACAGCAACAGTTACAGTAAATTATCAAAACACTGACAGAGAGACAAGCTTTAGAGTTTTTCTTTTCTGTAAAATCAGGTGTTCAAAAAGTAGTTGAAATACTAACTTTGTAAAACCGACACTCTAACTAATGCTTCCTCTGTCTCCTGCTAACACTTTTTAACAAATTCACAATGACTTTCTTGTCCTGCACCAGTTACCATAGCAAACATTTTCCCTCCTGGAGGAAATAGAAAAATAGTAAATGTCACACCTCCTCTCATAGCTCTGTGGGGCCTGGTGAAAGTCAGTGCCTTTAAGCTCAGATTTGTCCGTGTTGCCATCTGAGGCACCACAGGGCAGGAAAGGCCCCCCCTGGGGCTGGCATTTGGTAAACCAGTCAGAGTTGGGAGCGCCAGCTCTGTGGGATACGTGGACAAATGCATGTAAAACAGAAGTATAAAAAGACAAACGAGGCAGTCTCCGCCTGTAGTCTCAGCCAGAAATACCTGGACGTGCCTGCCTCCAGATGACGTGTAATAAAGGGCAGTTTTGTGCACATGCTTAGAAAAAGAGACAAAAATGATCTTGTGGTATCTCAACAGAACCTGAAGAACAACAACAGATCAAGTTCAGAGCTGATGTTAATGAAGCCTCATTTTTTTTTAATTTTTTCAGTAGAACACAATGCCACCATCTGGTTATGCAAAAGAGGAGGTGACGTGAGAATGCTTATCCTAAGTAATGCAAACACAGTCTTTTGTTTGGCAGCTCTGATTACCAAGGCTACCATGCAGTACAGCCGTGGCTGTCACAGCAGGGTGAGCTACATGTAATTCAAAGAAACTCAAAGGAGGAAAGGAAAGTGTGTCATTGTGACACAGCACACCACCTCACACAAAATGAACTGTGACCTCTGCTTTTAACCCATCACCAAAGTGAACACTTTAAGCGCCCGGGGAACAGTGCCATGTTCAGAGCCCCTCATTGGTAACTTGGGAGCTGGTGGACTCGAACCTGAAACCTCCGCTTCCTTAATCACTAAGCCACCACTGAAGAATTTCTACTTCTCCCTCTGGACTGCTGCTCTGATCGATGCTATTAAGGCGTTATATAATTTTCTGGAAGAAATGATTTTTAACAGAACAACATCTGTTGTCAACGTCTCGCCTTCTTTGTTGTTCACTTTCCTTCCACTGCTCTCCGTTCAACTTTGATCACTCTCAGTCAGGGGAAAGGGAAATTCTCAGTGATCAGTGTGTTCTGAGACCTGCATGTGTGGACAAGTTCTCTGCGGGTCCCTGCGGCTTTTAGCATCCAGTATAATTGGATACAATGGGACTGCAGACACCTATCGTCCCTCAGAAGGCCTTGTTGTTGTACCACTAAAGCTAACAAGTACCAGACTTCCTCGAGGAGTTTTTTGCATGAGTAGGCATAAGCAGATGAATGAAATGAAAATATAGTTGCCTTTGCCTCGATGCCTATGTGTGCATCCACTGCATCATCCAGATACAAGCCTGTATCTCTGGCTTTGCTTGGCATTCTGGTGGCACATCCAATCAGACCTCGGGGGGTGGGGGGGTGTTCTCGTGCAGCCGGAATCAGCAGTCAATCATGATGAGGTCTGATGCCTGACGAGAAAAGGGCGCAGTGCACCCTCCCAAACCACAGTCATCAGACTCCTTTCAATGCAGAGCACGGGCACATGCACATCTGGGTCTTGACATTGCAGTTTTCTCCTCTTGTGAAGTGCTGGCACTGACTGTCGGCTGTAGGAATGTGGACGGCAGCCTAATAAAATAAAAATTAAACTATATTGTATATACTATACATAGATTGTGTAATTGTACACGGTCCACTGTATGAACAGCAGTGCTTCAGCAGATACAGCAAGTCACTTCTGTTTCTGAAGGTCGGGACATCAATCTCAGGCTCTACAGACCGACACAGTCTGTGTCCTTCAGGTTTTTGTCCCAGAGCTGCGTAGATGAGAAAGGTTGCGTTAGTGAAGCAATCTAGCAGAATATCTCTAGTCGTTTGAATATCTCTAAGTGCTTAAGAACTCTGCTTAAAAAGCAGATAAATAAACATAATGTCCCATAATTGCTCTTATTGTAGGTGTGTAAAAAGGAGTAAAGAGGAATTTTGGGTTAAAACTAAGTCATGAAGTTTCTCCCATTTCTTCTGCAGGGGCTGCTTTTTATTCATTTTCAATTCCCTGGTTTATGAGATCAGTGCATTGGTAAACCATTATTCTGTTACAAAGAACAACCAATACAGCAGCTGCACTGTTTGTCTTTGCATGTATTTTCGGAAGATTAACTGCAGCTAACCACAGCAAGACAGGTTAAGCTCACATATCCCTGTCCAGATGCCTCTGGCACTAAACACCCCGGGAGCTGCCTGGCTGTACAACGTTCAATTTCAAGTTTTGTTCATGTCTCCCCACAGGCTGAGGATGAGGAGGAAGAGGACCAGCCTCTGAGTCTGTCCTGGCCCGAATCAAACCGCAAGCGCTTCACCTACCTCCTTATTATACCCATCGTCCTCCCCCTGTGGCTAACACTCCCTGACGTCAGGAAAGCGGTGTGTGTTTTGTTTGGGGAGACAAACTATTGTTATCAGAAGTCATTACCTTTTCTTAGTGACCATGAATAACATTTTTTTTTCAGTCATCAAAGAAGTTCTTCCCGGTCACCTTCTTGGGCGCCATCTCCTGGATTGCCGGCTTCTCGTATCTAATGGTGTGGTGGGCTCACCAGGTACAAAGTCGAGTCTATGTTTACATTTCAGTGGAGGAAATAGTAAAAAGTGATTTGAATAATAGCCAAATAATAAAATATAGAGTATAAAAATAACTTCATCTGTGTGGAAAAAAAATGTTTTTGATCAACTCAGTGGATTGTCAGAGTAGAGCTTTGTCACCTCCCTCCATTCAGAAGCAGGATAATATGAAAAGGTTGGAATAATAGATTGAGTTGTATTGGTCCTAAAGCCTGGTTTTTCTGCTTTTATTTATACAGGTTGGAGAGACCATTGGGATTACGGAGGAGATTATGGGCCTGACTATATTAGCAGCTGGAACCTCCATCCCTGACCTCATCACCAGTGTCATTGTGGCACGCAAGGGTCTGGGGGATATGGCTGTCTCCAGCTCAGTGGGCTCCAACATCTTTGACATTACTGTTGGGTAGGTTGGAGATTCCTGTTCAATACTATTCTATAAAAATTGAAGGTCAACATTTGGGGGATAACAATAATGGAAATGAGAAATGTATTTACATTGAGTGTCATCCTTGAGAGACCAGATGTTCTTTGTAAATCAACAGACCACGTTAATCAAAGGTAAAAGTGCATAAAAAGCAACGTCTGCTAAAGTTAAGGAGCTTGGAACATGTCTAAAGAACAGGTTGTGATTTATGACAGTACTGACTTTAAGTATAATTTCAAGATTTGTTTTCAGCATAAACATATCACCTCCTGCAGTACCCTCATTTCACCCTTTGGGGTGACTCATTGACAGCTGTTGTGGGACGTTACCTGATCCGTGTTTTCGTGTGTTTGCAGACTGCCATTCCCCTGGCTCCTCTGGTCCTTCCTTAACAACATGAAGCCAGTGCAGGTCAGCTCCAACGGCCTGTTCTGTGCCATCGTGCTCCTCTTCCTCATGCTGCTCTTCGTCATCGTCTCCATCGCCGCCTGCAAGTGGCGCATGAGCAAGCTGCTGGGCTTCATCATGTTTATGCTGTACTTTGTCTTCCTGGTGGTCAGCGTCATGCTGGAGGACAAGGTCATTTCCTGTCCGGTGTCCGTCTGATGGACCTGACTTTCTTTGCGTCGTTTAAACCCATCATCACTAACAATACAGCCATGTTTCCTGACTGACGTCACTTTTAACTGATCTTTACGACACTTCATTCCAGGAACAAAAGAACTGATTTAAATACTATTATATAAAACTATATAAAACCATATATGAATATTTTATTTATTTATTTAACATTTATTTGGCTGACTAAGAGTAGATCTGGCCTGGATGAATTTTATTTATTATAATGAATATTTAACAGCGGGTGAAAGGGATTGTGGGTGCATCAGTGAAATACAGTTGGGCTTCAAGATACGAGTTGAATCCGTTCCACAACAGCACTCCTATGTTGATCAGCTCGTCTCTCAGCTGCATTTCCCCCATTAGAAATAACTAAAAACCAACTAATTAATTCCAGCCCCCCAGAAATATACTTTATACTAATCCCCCCTCATCTAAACATCAAAAACATAGATATCAACGAAAGAACTCCGTTGAGCACTCATAACTCGATGTTTCGTCGTATCACGAGGAAACATTTGCTTACTCCTAACTTGGAAAACTCAGATTTCAGGCAGCTCGTATCTCAAGGCCCCACTGTATAGACACATTATGCATGTCAATAATGTTACCAGATATGGCCACTGACCTTTTGTGAAGTGTTGGGTTAAACAGAAAACTAGCTTTCCTTTTAAATACTAAGACTAATACTAATACTGATTAAGAACATTGGGCTGGAAGTATGGTTGTACTTCTGCCATCAACAAGAGTGAAGAGGAATTTGTGGAATTTGATGCTAGATGCTGAAGATGCTTTTCCCATCTTGTGGTACTGAGTGAAGGTTCTCCTCCGGGTTTTCACTTGAGCAACAGAGAAGAAAAGAAACTAGACAGACTTGTTCTTCGTCCCAGTGTCAGTGTGAACACCTTCCCTTCTACTTGGGATGTGATGTTTTCATTTTCAAAGGACTTTGGGATTCATTTTCATCAAACCTACAGCGTAGCATTAGCTGTACCGTAGCAGGATTAGCAATTGGAGTCCTTTTGACGTTTGTATCATTTTTTTGGTTTTTGCCATTTTGTCATTGTACAAACAGGGTTCAGGCTTCACGTGCACCGACTGATTAAGACGAGCATCTCAAATTATATGCCCACCTAGAGCAGGTGTAATTCACACTCATTTCTATTGCATCATGAAGTGGATGTCAAAATAGTACGGTATAAAAAAAACTTTACAGTGTTCATCATGGTTTACGTAGATTAGTGGTAAAGAGTAGTGTAACGTTGACACTAGAGCTGGAATCAACTGCATGAAAATAATTATAAGACACTCAGAGCTGCATCATAACCATGGGAATCTAAGGAGTTCTATACTAAACTGTATACTTTTTTAAAGCTACTTCTTAATGCAAAGCAGTGCTCGATCTCTAGGTAGAAAAACACCACGTATACGGTCAAAATTATTTAATCCAATTTGTGCGATTTCTTTTCTATTCAAAGGTGCTTTGGTGTGCATGCGTGCAAACAGCGTTTAAAGTCATGACACAATGACAACACCTTCATTTTACCTACGACTGAAGGTGAAACTACCAGTATTTTGCAACAGACTGCAAAAAACCCATGTATATATTAAAAAATAAAACAGAAACCACAATCTCTTTAACCTAGATAGAAAGTAGAAACCACAGATTAAACAGCAATATACCATGTGTGTCACTGTCTAGAATTGACCCCCCCCCAGCCCCCCCTCGTCCCATGTGTCTGTTTCTCTTCCTGTCTGACATGGTCCACATGACCCACGACCCCCTTCCTGTTAGCGCTGGCCAGAAATACCCGCTTTACCTCAGCACAGCCGCTGTACAGCAGCTTAGTAGAAACACGGTATCTGTAAAATAGTAGTAAATAGATTCTCTGAGTGTGTGAGGAAAAACTGCATGCAAAGAACTTTGGGCTGGTTCCCCACTGACTGTACAGCTGGGGCGATCCACCAATGTATTTATGTTCACTTTTATGCATCCATTCAGAGATGAACACCAAGAAATCACTGGTTTTAATTTGTAAATATCATCTTTGTTTTTGTTGTAGTTAGAAAACAAATCAGATGGCCTACACCTTCATTTTGAATTTTTTTCTGGAAATGGGAAGCGGCAGGAAAGACTCGAGGGGCATTTATTTCAACAACCCCTCAGAAAGGCATTTCCTCCTCCTCCACGTCGAGTATATTTTTGCCTCATCATCTCACTTTGTCAGAACATGAATTAATAATCAACTTAAAAAAGAAAATCAAACTAAATTTGTTAGAAATCTGCACTAAACCTAACATTGAAAAACTATTAGGCTAAATAAAACTAGCAATTTCCCCCCAAAAATTATCTTATTTATGGTCTTATTTATCCTTAAACAACAAAAATATAATTATCTTAAATGTTCTGACTTCTGCTGTCTGCTGTGTGTGCACAGAAGTATTCACGTCCCTCCCCCAGTGCTTTATGGTGAAGGTGAAGAAAAATATAATACACATGCACAAAAGAACTAAACTGGGATTATCAGATGACCTTGGCATGGAATGTGGTTTCAGACAGTGAAACGTGCACACCCATTGACATTCTTCCTGTTTTATTTTCTTGGTGTTGATGTAAGATTTCTTCAAAGTGTACATATATACAGATGCAAATGAATAATATAATCTATATGTGAAAAAGAAATGTCTCTTTATGTAAAAACACAAAGTATATAATGAAACAAATAAAGAGGTAAATTGAAATATGCACACTGCATGTGTGTTTTTCTTTCTTTCTTTCTTTAATTTATTCTTCATGTTCCAGTGATGGCGGACGAATTGTTGTTGATGTGTGAAGTTTCATTCAGGTCAAGTTTTATCAGCCTTTACCGGTGTCCCCGCAAGGTCAGTGAATCTTTTGAATGTACTTCCGGCTTATGTTAGGATGAGTAATGGCGTATGGCGCCCTCTAGAGATACAATCCCGATACTTCCATGTAAAGGTAACAAACCCTGTCTTAGATGTGGTACTTTTGTTTTTAGGTCTTTAGAGAAGAATAGATTTGCGAAAAACAGTTTTTATTACTTATTACTTTTTCATTACAAATAATTATTACTTTTTATTTTTCACACTATATGACACTTTTCATTATTATTTAAGTCTAGTAATTTTACTTAAGATTTGGACCATGGCTAAATACATTTATTTATAAAATATTGAGTGATCTGAAATTGTACGTTTTGTTTAATTTGCTACATTTTCACCAGGAGGATGTGTGTTTATATGGTCTTTATAAAAGCATAAAACCTTTTCGTCCTGTCGTTCCATGTTCCACATTTAATGACTTCAGGAAAAAAGCATCTAAAAGTTCAGCGATTTTATCTTTCCTGAGTCACCAGACTGCTTAAAACTAAATAAAGAATATTTGACAATTCTCCTTAAATTTGTGAGTCAGCTGTGTGTTCTGCCTGTGTGTGGGGGGATTTCCCCTCCTCCGACACACATTTTACAACAGACCAACTCACTTTCTAACTCATTTGCCAGCAGTTGATATACTCCACATGGCCATGAGCTCGAGGTTAGAGGCAGCAAGGACGGCTTGTTTAGCGAGTCAGCTCACTGTCTGCCAGACTTTGCTCTGTGACTTCATCTACCGGCTGTTACAGGGTGTGCTTTCCTTTGATTCAGCAAAAACAAAATCTCAGTGGAGGTTCCCGGGCCAAGTCCTGAATGCACTCTCATGCATGGAGGCTTGTCCGAGGCAGACGTTGACTCCAGATTGAGCGAATAGCTTGAAAATATCTCTCATACACAGGCGAGTCATCACCAAAAGTGCATTGTTTAGCTGTTCTAGGAGGGTTCATGTGGGGAGTGTTTTTCCCTGACTACTTACAAAACAGGGTCTCAGCGGACCTCAGACCATACGATGACTAACAAGAGTCCCTGTGTACATGTGAAGTATTAAGTGCTGCACATGCGGTTGTGTGAATCAGCTAGAGCAATGTCTGAGAAAGGATTTCATCTTGCTCAGAGAAAATCACTAGACCAGACCCAGGTGCTGCCATTAAAATTAAATCTGACTTTTGGCTTGTTTCTTCAGGAGTCTCTGAAGCCATTTGTCGTCCTCGTTTCGATACATGAACTGTCCCTGTTCTCTTTCACAAAGTCTTTTTTTCCTGCCTCACAACTTTATTTCCAACATCCTCTGTCCTCTCCACAGTAACTTTATCTTCAAAGACCAAATTGTCCTCTCAGTTGTTAGATGCAACCAGGCTCTTTTAGAAAGAAACCACAGGCACAGAATGCACAAACATACGGAATAATGTGCTCAAAATATCATTGCTAGTCTAATGCAACATGAGCAGGCAAATTTGTTTTTGAGTTTGACTTGATTATTCTGTGGATGTTTAAAAATTGCAGCTTTGGTTGTTTTTTTGTTTGTTTTTTTTTTTTGTTTGTTTGTTTTTTTGTTTTTTGTTTTTTTGTCTTTTGATGTTAAAGGTCACCGACCCCTGACAAGCTCATTGTGGAAGTCTTAGTTCAACCTAAACCTTTTTTTAATTAAGTTCTGAAAGTCTTATAGGTCATACTAAAGGTCAGCTGACATCAAAGAAGTCCAAGTTAAACTGACAATCTATGGTAGGATAGATACTTCAAGAGACAAAACTTCAGAACAAATGCATGTTATATATATCTTGTATCTGTTTGCCACATGTGCTGTATCGTTTACTTTAAAAAGCTGAAAATATACAAATGATTCCAGGGTCTTAGAAGGGTTTAGGCACCTGACGATAAGGAATTTACCATTTTCCTTTTCATTCTACACATTTTGCAGCAAGTTGTTTAAATCTATAGCATCCAGTTTTGCTTTGATATTTTTAGGAATGAAATCTGATTCAAAGGTCATTTTGACCACAGAATGTTGTGCCATGTGTAATTTTGCTGTCCTTGGAGCCATATTCTCAGCTGCTTTGTTGCTAACTGGTCTTCCAAAGGAGTGTCTTTAACCTACAGTAGTGGGCCGACCTGTTGCTCTGAATGATATAAGCACTCGCGGAAAACTCCTTATGTTCTATTGGCAGTTTGGTAACCATAATAAACAAATGCTAACTGTACGTAATGGAATTGTTAAGGCTGTCAGCTCACGTAATCGTCTTCTACTTCAACGTGTTTTCTCTGTGGGAGTTGACAGGTGTGGCCACTGTTGACACCTTAGGAAGTGAGTCATCAGTGTCGATGAGCTTAAGTCAACTAGGATTGTCAAATTGTTTCAGAGAAAATATAATAAGCCTTGTTCTTCAGCTAACGTGTGAATTCAGATTGTCTGCTTCAGCAAAAAATGGAAGTCACAAAGCCTGATGCAGCAAAACGAGGGGAGAACTAGCTTTAGTTTGAGACAAACAGTAAGGCAAATGTACTGCAATCCAAAGTACACAATGTAAAATAAAAATAAGTATATTGTAGTAAATTAGCATACAATGCTGCAAATACTAATACTCAGTGCCATCATGCCTTTAGTGGAAGAAACTGTTTCTTTTTTTGTAATGACTACTGCTGACTCTTCAGCATGAATCACTTCTGTGAGCTGTAAAACAGTGTTTTCATAATAATGACAATGCAAAAAATGTGTCAGATGTAAGATGTGCCAGGCAATGAGTGCTGCTTACCATTCGCACAAAGGGAAGGCTGGTTGTAGTTAAGGGTCATAAAGTCATTTTTCCTGTTCTGAACGGCCACCACAGTCCGGTCTAGACGGGTTTTGAATCACTTGGTGTGATTCATAGTTGAACCTGAACATGTAGTCATGGTTCATTTTGTGTGTGGATCAGCAAGTCACATTTTTGTTCTGACCTGGAACATTTCATTCATGCCTTGTCACCACTTAATATGAAATAAAAGTGCTAGTATAACAGACACTGTTATAACCCAGAGAAATGACATAGAATAGAAAGAATAGAAAATGATACCAAAAAAGTGCACACTACCTTTTATTTTAGACCAGGGGTGCCCAATAAGTAGATCAGGATCTACCAGAAGATCTCAAAGGGAGTGCTGGTAGATCCTGAGCAATTCTATTTTAAGAAGCTAATCACTACAGCTACACCATAGAAGCATTGAATCAGAGCATATTGTGCCATACAACTACAGCCTTTTAATAAAATCTCCCAAGCCAAAAAAGTGTGGACATCTCTGTTTAAGACTGTCATTACCCAGAGACGTTGTTTTTCTAAAAGAATACCATTTAAAAAGAGAAAAAGCAAAAAAATAATAAACAGTCCTGATAAGACATACAATAAATAATCAGCATGGCAACAATGATAACAGGTTAATAAACAGTCCTGATAAGACATACAATATTTATATATCTTGCATGCTGAATAAATAAAATTGGTTAGACCCATCACAGTGGTATCAATAGTAGTAGTAGTAGTAGTAGTAGTAGTAGTAGTAGAAGTAGTAGAAGTGAATTAGAGCAGTGCAGTTATCCCTTCCTGCCACAAGAGGGCTCTGGGTTCAGTGCTTACCACTCTCAGGTTGGGCTTCAACTGCTGACCATTGAAATGCTTTAGGGAATCCATTGAAATGTTGAATGGACATTTACAAGCTAAGTGCTTGTTGTTGTTGTTGTTTTTTAAGTGTGAGTGCTTGTTGTTGTTGTTGTTGTTTTTTAAGTGTTATACTCATATGAGCTGGATGTTTACGATATAGGGTGGTACAGGGAAGTGGTCCTGGATGATGACTGATCCCATCCAGGGTTGGGGTCAGTCATCATCTAAGATCACTTCACTGCCCTACTTCCGGTGAAATTGGGTCAGTATGCGATTCCTCGTCTGCGCCCATAGGTGCCTGGAGTCATAGACACACCTACCGCCCTGTGAACAGTCCTGTACACTCATCCACCGCCTGTGTGACCGCATACAAGTGGGCGGTTCCTAAGAAACTTTTCTTTTCTTTTTTTAAAATATCTCTTACACCGTCAGTCGACTTTCACTTAAATTGACGACAGACTCCAGAACACTAAAGTGTGGAACGAGAATGGGATCAGAGGCGCACTCGGACTGTGATGTTCCACGCACTGCTGTAGGTAGAAAACCATGATGATAAATACAACGGTCAACGGTCGCTGATTATCGGTTATCGCACTTTTTCTTCTCATTATGATGATTGTATTTTTAATCGTATTCTACTTTGGCTGATGGAAAACCGCGTGGGGTTGTTTGGTTGTTTCCACTCACGTTTTACAACTCCTTGGTGACACCATCAACAAGAGCAGTTAAGCAGTTCAGTTGGTGCAGTTAAGCCAAGATCGCCTGGATGAAGAGAATGGTCTATCCACAGAGCACAAGTGGATGAACATGGGACTTGGAAAGAAGGCAAGATGTTGGCAAAGCTGTTGATCATAAGAACCCTGCTATGCCATCATATTGCCATTTTTCTGTACCCTCCACTGCCACAAAACTTCCACTGACCTTTGGTAAATGTCATTAAATTCGTTATAATCACATCTGTTTTTAATTTTAATATTAATTAACTCAATTTAATTTAAAATGTTATCTTACTAGAAAAATGTTATTATTCTGTCTCTGAATATTCATAGTATTCACATTATATTCAGATGTTACTGTGTGTTGTATTTAAAACAAAGATGTTTTACTGTCCATGTGTATCACTTTTGACCTGTTTAATCCCATACATTACGTGCATCCTGTATTTTGATCTTCATATTAAAATATAATAATTATTTTTTTAAATTTCCAAATGGCCTGTTCTGATTTATATTAATTTTTCCTTAGTTCAATGGCTGGTGCTTTGGGACAGTTTTAAGCACTTTTGAAGTAATTTAATGACTTGCTGTGGTGACATTTTAATGAAACAGACAATAGATGGCAAAGGAATGATTCTTATACTTGGAATATATTATCTTTAAAAATGTGAAGTAATGGTATAAATGTGCTGTTGTAATGTGTTCCACAGAACTGACTAAAGGCACATTTTGTATATTTATGAAAGGATTGTTTTGTCCCCCATCCATACTCATCCACTTTGCCAGGTTGCAGGGGCAGCAGTCTCTACAACCACCACCCAATCACACTGCACCCCCCTAAACCTTCCTGTGGGTGGTGAGTCCACTGGAAGGTACCAACCGCTCTAACCAGGATTCGATCTTGCCCAGGAGGTGAACCCTGGGGTTTCAATGACAGAGGCATTGCCTCTGGGCCAAAGCACCACTGTTTTGTGCCCTGACATGTATAATGGGTTTAAGTGTTTTAAAATCTGTCAACTATGGTAATACAGTATGTGTATATAAATCTTATTTTGTTTCTTAAAAAAAAAATAAAAAAAGACAACAGTTATAGTGATAAGGAGGAGGCTATGGAACACATAGCCTCCTCCACAATAAATAAATGTTAATTGCCTCGATGTTTGTATAATACAATGAAAAAAAATAAACTATGTTAACAAGTTTTTGATGCTTTATATTTTCATTTATCAATATTTTTTCCTCAAATTTGAAACAAATTAAAACCCACTGCATTTAAGAAAAAACATTTTCTATTTCTTTATTTTTAATGGTACAACGGAGCTTGTTTATTGTACACATTTCAAATAACGTGGTTTATCACATGGTCCGGTCATGTGACAATGTGACGTCACATGCTCACTTCCGCCTGTGCCTGTGCACCGGAAAAACAAGCCGGGTTCATTTTCTCCACTGCAGCTGGTTTGACAGTTTGAACACGAGGAGTTTATCGTTAAAGGTAAGAGCTGAACTGTACACTGATGTTCGTTCTGTAAATCGTTGTTTTAAACTTGTAATAAAACGGGCGATTATTGGAAGCAGCACTGGACTTTACTGCTGGCTGCATGCTTCATTACACACGTAGAGCAAAGTTTAATTAAGGGAATGCATGGTATCTAGTTAAGGTACTGTATCAATTTTCACTTCTTCAGGCAACAATTGTAAAACCTGTACATATTTTCCATATGGAGTTAATGGCCACATGTGTAATTAGTCTGATCATGTGCACCTGTGCTTGCCCTTTTGGATCCTAAGTTAATAATCTGTAATGCTAAAACAAAATCCACAAACGCTGTTCTTTGCGTATGTGTGTGGTTATGTTTGGATCACAGTCAATTAAGTGTGAGTCAAAGTTTATGTTTGAGTGGGTTAAGGTTGAGACAAAATAGGAAGTGATTTTATAGACATGTTTTAGTACATCATATTTTGTTGTTGTTTTCATAGAATTATTGAACAGAAATATTTAGTCATTTATGCAACTGGAAACAACAACAATAGTGGGGGCCAGGGGATGTAGGGGTTCACAGACTGTAAGTAGTTTTAATTATGTACATGTATATTGCTCAGGAACTATAACACAAAATATTCAACCATTTAGCTTTTGTGCATTGGAAAGCCCACTCTAATATAATGGATGTACGTTTTTTAAAATTTCCATAGTATATTTTAAAACCACGCCTAATAGTCTTTATTTTTTACATTCATCTAATGTTTTTGTTTTGCAGTTTTTATTATTTGTAGCTTTGCAAAACTTGTTCCTTTAAAATAATGAATATCAAAAAAGTGCTTGTGTTTTAATCAACAATTTGTTATTATAGTTTAAAAATGGATTTTTAAATTAAAAGTTTTTTTTAAAAGTTTTAAAAATGGATAATGGGATTCAAAATAACAGGTATTTAAAAATGGATAATGGGATTCAAAATGAAATATGTTCTTACTTCTTTATATTTTAATTATTTTGTTATGTAACATCAACACTGTTGTGTCTCTCTGGCAGAGATGAATAAAGAGAACTTTGCCCTCAGTGAGAAGATAGTTTCAGCCGCCTATGTCCGACAGGGGAGTCAGGCACGACGCAGCCATGAACAGCTCATCAGACATTTACTGGAACAGGTACAAGAAAAAAATCAACTCCATGTTCATTCAGAGTCTTGGTGAACGTACACTAACAACTTTTCATGTTGTGTGCATTTCAGGGAAAGTGTCCGGAAGAAGGTTGGAGTGAGAGCACTATAGAGCTCTTCCTTAATGAACTGGCAGTGATGGACAGCAATAACTTCCTGGGGAACTGTGGCGTTGGGGAGAGAGAAGGTCGGGTGGCGTCAGGTCTGGTGGCAAGGAGACATTACAGGTAAAATTTAATAAAACACTACATTAATACATCAATGCTTTCTCTGTGTAAATTGTAGACATTAAAGATAACATCCCTATTATCAGAAAAATAAGTGAAAATAACTACATATTTACAGTACTTTACAGCTAAATAAATCTTTAAAATCAGTACATTAAAATTAGGAATATATTTAAAAATAAACTTTGGCAATCATCAATCAGAGAGTTGATTAATAAATTGTGTATACATTTTGATTTCATTTACTATATACAGAACAGTGTTTGTTCTGATCACTATCTTCTTCTACACAAACATGTATTTTGTAAAAACAACAACATTTGTAAATAAATACTGGCCAATTCAAAAAAGCATGGAATGTGGACCATTTTGGTCGATATATTATTAAGTCTTGTGTGGGATTTTGTTTTGTTTGAATTCTTCCTGAATGTTAAAGCTTGATTAGACTTGATTAGAGCCCACTGTATTATAGCATTATTATTTTCCCTCAAATTTCTCACCGATCTAAGGTTCACTTCATTCTTGTAAATGTGTCCTGTTATGACGCTGGGCTGTCCTTATAGGTTGATTCATGGCATAGGTCGATCAGGTGACATTGCTGCAGTTCAGCCAAAAGCTGCAGGATCCAGTCTCCTCAACAAGCTCACCAACTCCATCGTGTTGGACATCTTGAAGGTTGCAGGTGCGTTTGTTTCGTCTGCCGAACAATTAAAATACATAACCCTATGTTCATCTTTTATTCTCTCTCAGTCTCTAACATTCTAGTCAGCAAACAGTGAAAATTGTCTTGATTTATGCTCTTGTGAGGAAAAAACAGACAGCAAACCAAAAGGATCTCAAAATTCACCCATCAGCATCATTTCCAAATTGGTCTCATTCATTTCAGACATCAAATCAAGATTTTGATCACAGTGTTTGTGTTTATTAAAGATGGCCAGGTGTTAATGGAAAAAAAGAGCATTTTATGTTTTGGTTCTTGTGGATCACAGGTGTTCGCAGTGTGGCCAGCTGCTTTGTGGTTCCCATGGCAACAGGAATGAGCTTGACTCTGTGCTTCTTGGCACTGCGTCATCAAAGACCCAAGGCCCGCTACATCATCTGGCCTCGCATTGACCAGAAGTCCTGTTTCAAAGCCATGATTACAGCAGGTGACGTGATATTCATATTTGAACAGCAGTGCAGCTACAAAGCGCCACACCACTGATTTATGTTTAAATAAATAACACCAAAGACTCCGGCATTCTGCTGCTCATTCCAAAAATGTTTCATTAGGCTACGAACCAGTTGTGGTTGAGAACGTTCTTGAGGGCGACGAGTTGCGCACTGACTTGGTCACAGTTGAGCGGAAGATCGAAGAGCTCGGAGCAGAGAACATACTTTGTGTTCATTCCACAACGTCCTGCTTTGCGCCAAGAGTTCCTGACAGGTAAGACAGATCCTGATTTATTGTCACGTACTTTTATTATTTCTACACTGGTGACTTTAGTGGATTCTGAAATGCCGTAAACTTGTCTTTGCAGGCTGGAAGAGCTGTCAACAATGTGTACAAAACATAATATTCCTCACATAGTCAACAACGCTTATGGTGTTCAGTCGTCCAAATGCATGCACCTTATACAACAGGTAGGCCTTGCTTATTAGCTAGGATTATATAATACATGTATTACATAGAAAGAAGCAGAATATTATATATTGTATATTATATTTATTATCCACAAATCATTTCGTTTTTGCCTTTACAATCCAAGGCATTTTAATAAATTTCAACACTTTCTAGGATCAGTTTGTACCTTGACAGTAAATACATGTAAACTAATTGTAAACTGTTAATACATGTTCGTTTATACTTTTTTATACTTTTTTGCACTCGTTTTATACAATGAAAAGTGAACATATAAACAAAATAAATGGCTATTGAATGTGCCGTCAGGGGGCTCGTGTTGGACGAGTCGATGCCTTTGTGCAGAGCTTGGACAAGAACTTTATGGTTCCAGTAGGTGGCGCCATAATTGCAGGATTTGACGAGGCCTTTATACAGGAGATCAGTAAAATGTACCCAGGTGAGTTAATTTCTCATAGCATGTACTGCATACACTAGCTGAATAGATGTATGCCTTTATAATATGTTTACATATTTTTAACATGTGTTGGATAGTTTTTTTTTCTTTTTCTTCTGACTAAAAAGTGTCTTTGTTATATTGTTTTCCTTTGTCAAAGGAAAACATTCTGTAGAAAAAAAAATATTTTGGCATAAAATTATTACCAGAAAGGTGTACGGGGTAATACTTGTTCTTTTAAAAAAAAAAATCAAATAGTTCTTACTGAACCGAGACCCAAATTCTGTCATTTTCAATGTTCTCTGTATCCAGGTCGAGCATCAGCCTCACCCTCCCTTGACGTCCTCATCACCCTCCTCACTCTGGGAGCCAAAGGCTACAAGAAACTTCTGTCAGAACGAAAGGTGAGAAAACAGCAGTTACAACAACTTCATCATCGCCAAGGTCTGGTGAGGTGGCCACACACATAGAGAGGGTTGTGTCCTCTGCACAGATTCAACTTTAGTTCAGAAGCCTGACCAAATGATAAGGGTTGTTAACAGTTTACACGCCACAGCAAAGATGTACAGTAATCACTAAAATCCACCAACTTCATGAAGAAAAATGAGTTATACTTTTTACATATTTCTTTTTCATATTAACCATAAATCCATTATTTGGATTAGCTAATAAAAATAGGTGTGAAACACTGGGAATCCTGCTACACGCCCTTATCAAATGTACATTAAATATACTGCCCATGGACTAAATACAGTATATATGTTGAGATATGGCTCTTGGCCACAGTCACAGTATTGACTGAATACATTTCAAACAGCCCTACATTAGGGCGTGGCTTAGGCCTGTTTTTCCCATTCAAACCTGGCTGATTCTGAGAGAATAGTAAAAAGACATGCTTTCTATTTTCACATCTCATACTGTACAAGGTTCTATCAAAATAAACAGAACTTCAATCTAGTCAGATATGGATATCTGTGAGACTTTTTGAGATTTTTTTCTAATGTTCAATGTATCATTCAACTTTAGCTTAGTTTAGAGTTTAGGTCTTCTTCTGCAGCTAAAACCAAACAGCATAGGTTGATATGAACACGTAGAAAATGCAGCAGTGTAAACCATAGTTCCAAGCTGTTCTTTCTTCTATGTATGTGCTGTGTCGACAGCTACCCCCAGGAGAACAGATTACAAAGGTAGTATAGAATTGCAGAGGACTTTGGTCAGTCCGTGTGCAACTGTGCATGTGGGATGCAGTTTCTCAGCTGCAGTCTGTCTGAGGATGAGCCTCTGGAAGGAGCAGTGGGCGTCGAGCAGGGCGGTGTACTCTGTAGCAAGATAATATTGATCCTGAAGATTTACAAAATACGGCCCTGGTGGCTGACTGGTGTACAACAGACCTCCTAACAGTCCACCTATCTCCCTCCTCAAAATGAGAAGCACTGCAGCATTCTTACATTGTCAAATTGTTCTATCAAATGTGCAGCATTAATGTCTGTTTTACCTGATGCTTGGACCCTTGATTTCAAAAACACACCATGACTGTTGCACACATTTAAATCTATCTGAAGGACTCCTATCCAAACACTCCCTCAGGAAGCGGGACACTAAACATAACACTATGATCGTGAAATCGAGCCTGGAGCAGAAATATAAATCTAGGTAATTCCTCCTGGCCTCTCACATGACCTAGTGCCATCAAGGCTCATTGATCTTTTCTTGGTCCATACGATGCATAATTAATGTGTGGGACCCATTTTCCGGAGTGTGTGGAGAAGTGAGTGATTTCTACACACCCTTCTCACACAGCAGCAGATATTCATTTTAGTTTTAAGTGACCATTTTTAAGATCTGAGTTTGGGAAAAGGCCAGAGGATGGCGTCTGTTTTGGGTCCGTATCAAGTAAAGTGGACAAAAACTCAGTCAGCTCAGTATTTCTTACCAGGCTTTTTTTTTTTTTTTTTTTAAAAAACAAAACAAAAACAAAGGATGCTTAATATCATCAAGGGGCTGTTTGTGTTTAAGTCTGTGACGTAAATGATATTGTTTCCTTTTTGATGGTTCCAAATTGGGAGCCTGTGAGTCAGCAGAGTTCACCCACAAACACACACTAGTGTGTGCATACATATCCACACAGTGTTAGAGAGTGCAGGGCTTTTAATGTGCAGTGCCTCACTGGGGAATCTGGCATCAGTAGCTGGCAACAAACACTGAGCTCTGTTGCTGTGCTGCCCCCTCCTTCATCACATCTGCTCCACTCTTCCATAGTACCGCACACATTCAGCTGCTTATTTCCCAGTAATGAAACGCGCTGTGTCAGCATTATTTATAATAATAAACTCTAACTAACTCATCCCTGAAGTGGCGATGTGATGAAAAGGTCACCACCAAAGATGCAAAGGAAGCTGATGAAGTTTTAGGAAATGTTTCCAAGCCAACTGAGGGAACACATAAATGGGAGTTTAATTCCATAGGTGATTTACAAATGTAAGAAATTAAAGATTGGCTGAAGCTTAAATGAAACTTGTGTGTGTGACAGGACATTGTCTTTCTATTTATACTTCAGCTCTATTGCTTTGCCCTTGCCCTCTTTTGTTCTGTCTCATGTTTTCTCTGCGTGTGCTTGACCTGCAGGAGATTTATATGCTCCTGGCTCAGGAGCTGAGCACCCTGGCCTCAGCACATGGGGAGAGATTGCTTCACACCCCACATAACCCCATTTCACTGGGTAAGCTCAATTTACAGGCCACAGGTGCCATCAACTTTATCATTTATTTGCGTATCTTGGTTTATTTTGCAGTGTACTTTGTCGATTCTTTTGTTCATTATTGTCAGAGATGAGTGGATTAATGCTGATCCGTTTCTTCTCCCTGCAGCCATGTCTCTGGATGGTCTGCAGGCTGAGAGCGACAAGGCGGTGACGCAGCTGGGCTCCATGCTGTTCACCCGGCAGGTGTCAGGAGCCAGGTATGCAGAGTGTAAATAGGCCAGGGCCGCAGTCTGGCCTGGAAATAGAAACATGCAGAGAAGGGAGAATGAGGATGTGCGTGTGTGCATGTGTGTGAACGTGTGTGTGTTACCATGCACTTTAAAGGGAGGAAAGAAAAGTGTGAAAGTCACCTTTTGTCTTTCTTACGTCCTCAACATCAAATATTTATTTGTCGCTGTGATTAAAGCTAAAAGGATGAGCTGTGTGTTGCCAACACAATGAAGGCAATCATGTGGATGGCAAAGAAGCAGAAGCTACTTTAGATGATTAGACGGCAGATGCTAGCACAGCAGCCTGCTAATTTATTTAATTTATATTTCTATTAGCATCCATAAAGCTATGTTCTCTACACATAGCTGCAGCTTCACCATTAACATTTTATTTTGGGTGGTTTTTTCCAACATTATGATTATTTTATGTTGTGGCTCCACCACAACAAGCCTCAAACCAAACCTCAAACCAACATCACTGTACAGCATCTACTCAAGTCTTTCATCCTTGTCTCACTGCATCAAACTAAATGAAATGCATTGACTTCTGCAATATGACGCATACTAATCTCTAAATGTAATGAATGGCAGCAGGTTATATGTTAACTGTGACCACTGTGAGAGAAGGTTGACTTCTTTGGTGCTCATTTTTACAGTTTCCTCTGTGACCCATTCTCTTTTTAAGGAAAATATATGAACAGAGCTCCTGTTATCACTACGTTGCATTTGTCTCCTATTAACATCATCTCTAATCGTCAGGCCGGTAATTGATTTCACATTTAAATAAGTCAAAGGTGTGCTGACGGTGCAGGAAACGGCAGAGGCTAATGTTTGACTTTATTACTTTGGCGGCAAATTAAGTTCAATGCTTCACTAGGTTTAGACTGCAAATCCAAAAATCTGAAAAGTTATGCTGTGGTTTTATTCTGCTCATCTCACTTTAAAAAAAAAATTCAAAAAAATAACAATGTGGAAGACGTTCTCCCTTATTCCCAAATTGATTGTTGGTTGTGAAAACATCCTGATATCCACTCATTATTTCAGGGTAATACCACTGGGTAAGGAACAGACTATTAGCGGCCACACGTTCCGTGGCTTCATGTCCCACTCTGAAAGCTACCCCTGTCCTTACATCAACGTTGCCTCAGCTGTGGGTATCTCCAAAGAAGACGTGACACTGTGCATGAAACGGCTCGACAAGTGCCTAAAGGCTCTGAAGAAGGAGTTGAACCCGAGCAAAAGCACTTCCCCGGTCTCTCAGCTGAGCCACGAGGATACGACAGACTGACTGAACCAAAGCTGGAGCAGATGTTCTACAGGAGTCTCTGCTTCAAATCACCAATGGCTGCGTTCACAGAAAACACACTCGGCCTTGCTCACAATCAATGAATACCTTAAAGCCCAAACATCTGCTGCAACTAAGTGGAAAAAGATCATTGTGCACAAACCATGGATTCAACAATGTATTGGTCAATTCAAAGACGGTCAGCTATTCATTTTGCAATACTCTATATTTACAGTAATGTGTATTGATAATGAATTATGTCTCTTGTAAGTTTTTCATACACAGATTTAAATTATATTGCCTTCATTTAATAATGAAGTTAATTATCCTATTACTTTCAATAATGACTTAAGTGCAGATTTTCATAAAGATCATGTTGAAATGTGTTTTACCTGTGGCTCCCTTTAAGAACTATTTCTCCTTCTGTTGTTATTGACAGTCACAGTTGTTCAGACTTTTGTGACGACAACTTGATCACTGCCATTGATATACATATGTATATATTTATGTATATGTATGTATATGTATAACATTAACATCAAGTTTACTTTATTAAAATTAGAATATTAGAACGTTGAGGTACTACGACTGGGACCCAAATGACATATGCTTAATTTAATTAACAGAAATAGCAGCGTCAGCAGTTTAATTCTTGCCAAAATGCAACTAATTTATAACCAGTGTTCTGGGATTATAATCTTAATTTCTTCTTTAAAAAAAAAAAAATCCTACTCGTTCACTTTGTGTTTTCTAATCTTACATTCCCTGTAAGATAAGACTGTCTGCTTTACTTCTGGATACATAAAACCTTTCCAGCTTTACACCGTAGTGTGTGTGTGTGTGTGTGTGTGTTGTGCTCCGTCTTCTGCTCTGTGTTGTAACGTGATACGAGTGTAGTTCAGCCATTAACTCCATCTGAAGCCCTAATATTGGATGAGCTCATTTATTTTCTGACTTGGTAACAAATAGCATGTAACAGATAATCAATGGAGAGCGCCAAACATAGCTCTCTCCTGTGTTTAGTGGAGGGAATGTTCTCAGTGCATCTTGGGTATCTTGGAGAGTTTCCTGCCACACTTTAACACAACTTACATGATCTGTTCTTCTGTCAGTAACTCTGAAATGTACATTAAACAAATGGGATCACATTATTGATAATGTATACGCCCACAAGATCTTTTAACCCTTAAATCTTAATTTTAGTCTAATATTAGAAGAAAGGAGAAAAAAGTCCTGAAAAGATTTTAATGGTTTTCCACTTACCAAAATAAATTAGTTTGAGAAGCATAAACTGATTTAGGGGGCTCCTGGCAATATCCAAATGTGTTTTTACTTGTATTTCTGTTGTGCTTCTATCATTGAAGAAACATTTTTTTTCAAGCTCCTATGGGCAAAATGTTAACATCATCAAATATGATCTAAACAAGCTCTGGTTACGTAAAGAAGGCAGCTGCCACTTTTGTGTTGTTGAGATTTTGCACATGTGCCGGACCATGTTGTGCATAAAAGGAACAAAATCTGCAGTTTCCATGTGTTGTAGCAGAACCTGGCACATTCTGCATCCTTTGAGTGTGAGCTGGAGTCAGACGGATGCTGTATCAGCACGCTTTTACTGTTCCCACGCTGAACCATGAGCAAATATAGTGGAAAATCACTGCAGGAGGTTCAGTGCAGCAGAAATGCTTTTGTATAGTGTTGGTGGGCAAAGCCTTAATCATGTGCCGCAGTAGGATGAGAGACATAATCAACTGCAGGAATGTGTTTCAAAACAGATATTAGGTGAATGTGTAAGTGGGTTCTCAAGCTTGATTTTTTTTCTTTCCCTCTCCCTCCTCTGTTAAAGTCAGTGGTTTGCTGGTTTTCTAATCCTCTGCTGATATAGCTGAGATGCTCTGAGAATATATTGTCGGATTTTCTGCCGAATAGTTTTAAAAAAATTCCCTTCTATTGATTTAGTCTACTGCAGTGTGTGAATCAGAAATGTGCTTGCAGCACAGAGCAAAAATCGCAGTTCATTTTTATTCACCTTTAGTGTTTTCTTGTCTCCTTTTGTTCTTACATAACCTGTGTCTTGACAGAGATCCCTCCTCTCCACACACTCGATCATTGGCCCTAACTAACTCGGGGACACTGTGGCTTGACAAACACCCCTCCCTTGCTTGTGGCTCTCAGTGGCTGACAAGTAAAGTTCAGTGATGACTGAGCACCAGAGTCAAACTGACACAGGCACAAATGAGTCTACCAGAGAGAAGGCAGTTTTCTAAATTCAAACCTCTATTTGGTTTGGTTCTTAAAATAGAATTGCTATTGCTTGCAAAGCATAATGGTCAAACTTGTTTTGAAAACTGGAGAAAACAAGCAGACAAACTCCCTTTAGTACAAGTGTTCTCCATGTTTCTGGAAAATCTGTGAACTGAGGAAAAGATTATTTGCTAGTTAAACTAGTTTAATTATCAGCTACCCTTTTGTAGCCCCCCCATTGTCAGCTTCACAAAATAATCTTTAAGGTCTCATTAAAAAGAAAAAAAAAAGATGTAGATATTTGCAGTTAAATGCAAAGGACCTGTCCATGGTGCTGGAGTTCTATGGACCATCCTAATACAGTATACAGTTTGCTACATCATTCTGTTTTAACAAAACGTCATCTGTGCTTGTGTACTTTTATGCCAACAAATAACGTGTAGCTTATAAACCAAAGTTTTATGAGCCAGCAGCTTATCAAGGCTCTCCGCTGTGTGGCGCACGGTTCTTTAGCCGCCAGTTGTGCTGCTGGATTCATAAATAATGAAGGTGGACGGAGCTGGAGCTGCAGCTGATTTGCTGATGTCAGGAAGCCAGTGCTGCATTTCATGGTGCAGGGTGTAAACGCGCGCAGCTATCCGCCTCCTACCGAACCTCTCAGCGAACCCTCACACATGCGAGCCCGCCAAGAAAGATGGTGCCAAGTGTCAAGGTCTGGGCATTGCTGTCCGTGTCGCTGTGCTGTCTGTGTCAGCCGGTTCATTTGAAGAAGGGTTTTCGATGTCCTTCAACATGCAGCTGTTCCAGGGAGTCTATCATGTGCGTCGGGTACTCCAATGTGCCAAGGATTTCCCCAAACGAAATCAATTCCTTGTGAGTATCCTATATATATGTGTATATATTGATATATATATATATATATATATATATATATATATATATTGTTGCAAATTTATTTCGTTTAGCAAAGCTCTTACGTATGTCAGATTGAAGTTGAGTTGCAGCTGTTTCGAGCTTATTATACCCACCGTCATGAAAATAAAGGGGCTTTTTAAGGCAATGCAGTCTATCTGCCCTGTGCACTTGTTTAGTATGTTTTTTTTTTCTTGGTTTATTTGACTGAATTTCCGTTTTTTGTTGTTTGTTTCACCAGGAGTATCGTCAATGGGACGTTCTCAGAGATCAGAGAGGCTATGTTTTCTCACATGTCAAATCTCCAGCTCCTGTAAGAACATTGAACATTGCTGTATTTGCTCCTGTATGGTGTTCTGTATTTTGAGATGTTTTGGCTCCCCCTACAGGCAAAGGCTTGCATGAAGACAAACATACAGTATGTGGCCAGACTGATTTCACTAGCAGTGGTTATCTAACAATAACAGATAACCCTGATGTAATGTACTGATCCATACTGTTATTTTCATGAAGCAAAAAGAAGATATCAGTGAGCATGCTAGTACTAACACAATCCAGCAGCTAAAATCAAAACATAAGTGCCAATAGACCATGTTTTTTTTAATTACATTTTTCCTTTTACACATGCTTAGAATATCATCGGTAGTGCAATGCAACACCCAGGTGGAAGTCAAAGTTTCTCATTTGGTATAATATGTAATATCCTATTGCCTTTTCCTTGTCTGTAGAGATGACATCATCATGTTTTGTTACCAGAAAAGATGTGACCCACTGTCTAGATTATGACTTTACCAAAAAGACATAAGCCTTAGTGAAATCACCGAGCTGACACACACAAGTCTGACATCACTGAACACTGAAATAAGCCTTTACCTAAAGGCAAGAAAATGTAGTGGCAATCTACATTATTTACATAGCACATTTGTTTTATGTCAGGTCTGTCTTATGTGGTGCAGAAAGAATCAGAACCATGTCTGTATTTGGTATAAAATCCTGTGAAATATTGGGCCTTTTAACTTTAATTATAGCAGCAGTTTCCAAGGTGTTGGGCAATATTTAGTGATTTAAAATTGTATTCCTTTTTTTACTCTGAGAATATCCATCTTTAGGAATTATAGTCTAAAATAAAGTTTAGTGTAGTTTTAAAGCAATAGCTGTGAATGTGTTAACATGGAGGTTTGGGGGGTCAACAATGCTCCTATCTACGAAATTGGGGGCGGTTCAGAAAGTGTGGGTGAAACACTGTATAATGGCATTAACACCACTGAAGCACGTATGTCGAGTATTTTCCTGTTTTTGACTAGAAAATTGGATGTGCCTTTGGTTGGTCTGTGTTCTGCTGAAAGACTGTGGGTTATAAGAAGCAGCCCACTTTTCAGAGAATTCTGGTCCACATTGTAGACAACTTACCACGAGGTCATTAATCTGCTGTGTCGTTACTGTAGCTATGATGTCAGCATAAACAAAGGCGTGGCAGTTGTTACGCACTTAACCAATCTGATGACACAGCATTAGTTAAAATTCGTGGTGTGGATAGATTTGCTTTGTTTGCTTTAGTGGTTTTATTTTTAGATGAATGACGTCAGTTGTGCACTGAATGTTACATTTTAGAGGAATTTAACAGCTGGACGTAGAATTATGATTTCAGATATTTGATATGCCTTTTTTTAAAATGCATAAAAATGAGTGGGTAGTGTCTTGATATGATATTTATTCAATTTTTTTCCAGGCTTTTGAATTCCAATGCTCTCATGACTATAAGGGATGATGCATTCTCAGGCCTCCCACACCTGGAGTATCTGTGAGTAATCTTTTTAATGTACATTATGATCACACACAAAAATGAATGACAAGAATAAGAACAGTGAGAGACAGAACCCCAAAGAAAATTCCTGAAATTCACATCATATGAATTTATTTAAATTGATAACCATATGATGAGGAATTGACCCCCTACCAAAATTATTAAATTATAAATTGTTGCATTCTTTGCAAGTGGGCAAACCAGCAAAATCACCAAGGGGCCAAATACTTATTTCCCCCACTGTAAATGTCAAGAACAGTTCCTGCTCTAATAATAAAAAAAATACAATAATGGGATGTTGTTGTTTTAAATATCACTCAAATCTGTATTTTATGTCATCCTAAATATATACATTTTGTTTGGATATCAATAACTTTTTTTTTTTACAGGTTCATTTTGATTAATAAGATTGAGACAGTGTCCAAATATGCCTTCAGAGGACTCAGGGACCTGACACACTTGTATGTGATATATGTTAAATATTTTATATATTAAATGCATAAACCAATAGTAATGATTTGATGTGTATATATTTTGAGGAATGATTTCATTGCTTCTGTGTTTAGGTCTTTGGCCAACAACAACATCAAGGCCTTGCCCAGGGATCTCTTTCTAGACCTGGACTCACTCATAGAGCTGTGCGTGACATCACCAAATAGAATTACTCTGCATAGATATTTCTTTCATGGATTTTTTTTTTTTTGATTATCCTTTGTAATTTTGAAAGATAATGAAATGAATAATGAAAGATATGCTCTTCTCCTGCAGGGACCTTCGAGGCAATGCCTTTGAGTGTGACTGCCGTGCCAAGTGGTTGATGACGTGGCTGAAGAGCACCAACGCCACAGTGTCCGATGTCATGTGTGCCGCACCAGAGGAAATGAAGGACAAACGCCTCAATGACATGACCAGTTTGCACAATGAATGCACCTCAACGGGTGATGTCAATGGGAGCTGATCTTTTGTTTGTGTGAAATGTTACTTTGACTTTTTTTTTTAATTTGCTTTTTTGTTTTGTTTTGTTTTTTTGCAGACTTTGTCCTCCATCGGACTGTGGTGTCTGAATCCCTGTCCATAGACACGTTTAGCTTTAAGAACGACGTCTACGTGGCCATTGCTGCTCCCAGCATGGAGAGCTGTATGGTTTTACAATGGGACCACATAGAAATGAACTTCAGGACTTACGACAACATCACTGGTATGACAGTAAGATTGACAAGTACAGCATCTCAGTGCACTTTAAAGCTGAAGGCCTAACAACTCTCTTTCCTCTCACCTCTCAGGTCAGTCCATTGTGGGATGTAAGTCTGTTGTCATTGAGGAGGAGGTGTTTGTCATCGTAGCTCAGCTGTTTGGAGGTTCCCACATCTACAGGTTTGATGATGACCAAAGCAGGTTCAGCAAATTCCAGGACATTGAGGTATCCAAGATCTCCAAACCCAATGACATTGAAGCGTTTCAGATTGGCACCGACTGGTACTTTGTCATTGCTGACAGCTCCAAAGCAGGTCTGTCCACGTTGTACAAATGGAACAGCAAGGGATTTTATTCGTATCAGTCGCTGCACGAATGGTATCGTGACACAGACGCAGAGTTCTTGGATTTGGACGGCAAGGCACATCTGCTGTTGGCCAGCCGCTCACAGGTGCCTGTGATCTACCAATGGAGTCGCAGCAACCAGAAGTTTGTCCTGCAGGGAGAGATTCCCAACATGGAAGACGTGGTGGCTGTGAAGCACTTCAGGATTAAGGGGGAACTCTACTTGGCCATGACGCGCTATATTGGAGACTCCAAAGTTCTGCATTGGGGTGCCAAACAGTTTGCAGAGATCCAGGCTTTGCCCTCACGAGGCTCCATGATCCTGCAGCCCTATTCATTTAAAGATCGTTACTACTTGGCTCTGGGAAGTGATTACACTTTCTCACAGATCTACCTGTGGGATGATGACAAGAAACTCTTCAGCCGCTTCAAGGAGGTGTACATCCAGGCCCCACGCTCCTTCACTGTTGTGTCCACCGATCGCAGGGACTTCATCTTTGCCTCCAGCTTCAAGGGAAACACACAGATTTTCGAGCACATCATCATTGACTTGAGTTTGTGAGGGGCTTTCGCCTTTTGACCCCCCTGCAATCAAACGTCTTCCACTTTAAACAAGTTACTGTGGAGGAAAAAGAAAAGGACCAGGACATATTTCTGATCTCTTAAAAACTTTCCTACGTAGGCTTGTTTATGCTGGATTATGTGGAGTTGGAAATTCCTTTATTTCTTCATTGTCTCTTTGAGATAAATTAATTTCCAATAAGATTAGGCTGAGAATATGTAAGCATGGAATGTTTTGGTTTCAGTCCAAAAACATTCTTGTGGGTTTAAAGAAAAAACATGACCAGATGACGTCCAGTGTCTTTTTGTTTGCAAAACCCTGTGGGATTTGTTTTATGTACATAAAAGCAGAACCTCGGAGAACCATGCATTGACTTTCCACCCCCTTATTTATGTAGGAAACCTGCTGACGACAGAATTGTTTGCCACGTACTTCATGTCCCTGTTGTATTGTACAGTACAGAATGTTGCCTTCTGGGTTGTAAAAAGACCCGTAGTGCCTCCCTGTGGCCGTGATGAAGAATCACAACCCGTTCTGGTTTCACACAGGGATTCTCTTGAAAGCACAAACCTTTAATTATAATAGCGGAGATCGCTGTCTAAAGTGTAGTCGTTTAGTAGAAAAGGTGATGTAAGTCCTATAGATAGTAGATAGAGGGAAACAAGACTTGAGTTGTTTTTTTAAGTATTATTATAGGGATTAAAAAAACAAAGCTCCAATGGCCTTGTGGAAAATATATGGATCTAAACTTAGTTCAGAGATACTTTAATTGACAATACGAGATGAGTTTGTGTAGCTGAAGAGCAGAGAGTATATAGACATAATGTCAAGAGAGTCAAACTTCTTGCTGATCTTGCTCACATAAAAACCTGTGTATGAATTACATCCTAAAACGATGGCAAACATTTTATGTAAATATGGCGACATATGTTCAAGTTTGTTTTGAGGTTTTTATTTCTATTTCTCTCGAGCAACAAATCTGTGCATAACTGTACAGAGACGTGAATGCAAACATCCGTTTGACACACATTAATCCAAATCTTTGCACCGGGTAGAAATAGGTTTCGCCGAAGCTTGCAAGAGCATGTAATAAAACGAAGGGTTGTTTGCCAAATTCTTTTATGATGACAGTAACAAGCTAAAAGTCTGAAAGTGCTTCTACCAGCTCTATGAATGGCATTGCTGATGAAAAAAAGGAAAAGATACCGGTGTAAAAACATGCAATTTCTTTTCCTTGATTCTTGTTGTCCTTGTTTGTTGAATACTGAATGTCCTTCTTAAAAAACAGGTAATGTAAATCCAGTTGTGTATGACAATAAATATGTAAAAATATGAAATGAAATTGCCTAGTTTACTTCATCATTGTTTGTGTTCATTTTGATTAACCGAAGTATCAAAGTATTAAAATATATACCCATAAAGACCTTTTTAAGGATATTTTTTACTTCAAATTACATTAAAACTATTTGCAAAGACAAAATTGTTTTTTTATTTAATTGATATAGAATTTTAATTGCCAGGTTCTAGGCTGGCTATGATGATGATGTGAGCTACAAGAGGAGCACAGACATACAGGTATGCTTTTCTATTGTATATGTGCATTTAATTATTTTAAGATTCTTTGAAAGTGAAACCAAAACCAGTTTTTTTTTTTTGGCAGGGATGTTGATCTATTACATCCTGCCTGGAAGATGTCAGCCTATGAGTGTGTATACAATATACCATGTTGAAGACCTGGGGGCCAAAGTTCGAATCCAAACCCACAACCTAAACTTAGACCAGTTCTCATCGAGGATCAGGACGTGGAGGTTGTGGAGATACCTTGGGCTGTGGCTGAATAACAAGCTTGACTGGACCCGCCCCGGTACTGGTCTACACGTGTTGTTTTTACATGCGTATTGAGTGATATGTTTTTGAAAATTATTTTGCAAATAAAGTGTAGTTAATGAAACCTGAAGTTTCTCATTACTGCGATTTATATTAGAAAACTGAACCAGTGTTGCTGTTGAAAATATTTAAATGTACCGGATAATCGTGTCCTGGTGGTGATTGGTTAAAATATCGCGAGACTTGACTGTAAGGCAATGAGAAAATGACGTCGCAGGATAAACAAACGGCGAAGGGGAGGAGGAGGCGTTGCAGGAGGAAGCGGTATCTCTGACAGTATTCAGAGGAGACTTTATCCTCACGTTATTTTTTGTTTTTAATTATAATATTATTTTAATAGAATGCAGTCTTCCAAAAGGAGTGAAAGTGACTGGCAGGGCCTGGTCAGCGAGGTAAGGGAATGCCATATACCGTGTCCAGGTGCTGCAGAAGCGGGCTGTAAACTGAGACGCTTCCATATGGAATGACATACTGATTATATACTGGTTGTTTAACATAAGTAACAGCGATGTAGGGCTCAATGTTGAGGAATAAACATAGTCGGTTAGATGACGTGATATCCTGCGAGGACGTCAGCACTTGTCTCATTTAAAGTTGTCTTTACCACCCGTTTTAACACACATGATGCTGTATGGAACATATATTGTGAACTCACCTGTGGTTATATGCTTTTGTACAGTATGCACTATGACTGGATGAGGGCTAAGATTCGTTATTACGAGTTAGAAAGTCAATCATCCTGCATATATGTTTTGTTGAAAACAGCAATAATTGATAATAAAAGCTGCTATTGTGTAGTAAATAATAAAACAACTACACATGGCGTGGTACCGTCCTACTTTAAAATTCACACAGCTTCAGTGATATTCTGTAATCTTTTTATTTTTTATATTTTTTGTATTTTTATTGATATTTATTTCTGTTTTATCTATTATTTAAAATAGATAACACAGGAATAAGTAGAGGTCTACATAATAATAAAAAAAAGAACTACCAATGTGACAAATAATATAACACGTACTGTCATTTTAATCTTTGTTTGGATCCTATTTACATTGCTGGTAAGCTGTTCCAACAGCTATCCAGGTTTACTCTGTGCCCTCTGCTGACTCTTATCAGCCCTTTAAACATTCAGCCTCAGGCAACATGGGTCTTTTTCACCTATGTCTGGACTGACATCATAATTGACCATTTCTATCCCAGAACAGGGTCACTGGAATTTATTATGACTTAGAGTTAAGAATGTCAACATGAATCAATTATAAAGCTGAAAACCTGAAAAGGTGGATGAACTGCTCAGTTTGTTGGATGACCAATAATTACCTGCTAGTTGTATGATTGAATGGATAATACTCACAAAACTCTGGCCCTTAATCCTTATCTATGTGTTAGTTCCTGGTGTGCAAGCGTAAACTGGAGAGTAAGAAAGAGGCTCTGCTCATTCTGTCCAAAGAGCTGGATACCTGTCAGCAGGAGAGAGACCAGTACAAGCTCATGGCCAACCAGCTGAGAGAGCGCCACCAGGGTCTCAAGAAGAAGTACACAGAGCTCATTGTGAGTGGCTGACTAGTTAAATGCCCCATGATGTCAATACACCATCTTATTTAGTCCAATAATTACACACAGAGTGATTTATTACTTTATCTTTTCTTTTTATTCCAGGATGGCGATCCCTCATTGCCACCTGAAAAACGCAATCAAGTAAGTTGACCACTCCACAGGTGCATTTTTAACAATAGCCCTAATATTTTACTGAATGTAAACCTGAGAATCTGACACTGCCATTCGATATACAGTCAATTAAAACTATGAATACATTTAGTTGTGCAATGTTTTCTAAATGTTTTGCGTGATTTTGGCGAAATTATTTTTTCACAATTATTGGACCTGATAAGAAGTCTGCTGAAAGGATAATTGTGAAATTTTTTCCACAATTATTGGACCTGATAAGAAGAAGTCTGCTGAAAGGATAATTGTGATCATAAACTACAGCAAATTACAACTAGATTTGATTAGTTGGATGAAACAGAAAATATATAATGAAAGAGGCCATTTGACTGTTTAAATGCAACTTAATAGGAAAATATACTCTAACAAAGAAAAAAGAAAGCATTCCGTTCTAATTTTTTAATTAAAAAAGATGTGGTGCCTTAGTGGTTAAGGAAGCAGACTTGGGTCCAGAAGAACTCGAACTTCAGGTTCGAATCCACCAGCTGCCAAGTTACCACTGAGGTGCTCTGAGCAAGGCTCCGTCCCTACACACTGCTCCCTGGTGCTTAAAGCTGCCCACTGTTCACTTTGGTGATGGGTTAAAAGCAGAAGTCACATTTGGTTGTGTGCTGTGTCACAATGACAAGTAGCTTACTTTCCTTCCTCCTTCATGTAAAACTGACAATCATTCGCCTTGCTTTGTGCCGCCTAGAGGGACCTGTCCCACACTTTGGGTACCAGTGTGTTTTGAATTCTATTAGGACCATCCACTGTGTGGTTTCATTTGTTTCCCTGTGGTTTTCTTCCCCTCTTTGTAGTGTTTAAATCTGTATGGCATTATTCACACACTGAGTTTGATATACAATTTTTGTGGTGTGTGTTTAAACTCTTTCCAAAATGAATCAAAAAGCCCATTTCATATCAATGGTCATTTACCATGCTCATCTCTCTTTGTTTCTGCGTGTTCACATCTCCATCTTGTGCTCAGGTGAACTTGGCTCAGCTTTTGAGAGACTCGAGGGAACAAGCTAAACAGCTCGCTGAGGAGGTGAAGGAGCTGACGCAAAGGCTAACAGAGGCCCAAGGGGACAACAAGGTGGTGTTACCAGTGGCGCTACATGTACACAATGTGTGTAGTTCAATTATTTCTCATTTGCTTTCTCTGTGTCATTTCACAGCTTCTGAGAATGACCATTACCAGACAACGGCTGGGGGACGAGGAAGTGGGGGCACGCCACTTTCCTGCTCATGAACGTGAGGATCTGGTTCTCCAGTTAGAGAGGGCAGGACTACAGGTCAACAAACACTCTCATTATCTTTTCTTTTAACACACTATAAGTGAAATGTAAATCTGACTTACTCCATAGACTGTGTATATTGAACCTTTGTGAATACTCTGACAGCGAGCACTACTTCTGTCTCTTTAAACTTTCCACAGCTTCTCTTGCGAATTCTTTTTCCTCAACCTGTCTCTGTTTTTCTAGATGGAAGAGATGGAGCACAACATTAAGGCTGTGACAGACGAGCTGCAGGACGTGAAGGCAGAGCGCAATGTGTTCCGGGAGAAGGCTGATCGACTCAATGTGGAGCTTAACCACATCTTGGGCAACAACGAGGCACGCATTATTGATGTGGACGCCCTCTGCATGGAAAACAAGTGAGTGACAGGCTGTACTAACTATCCAGAAGACTTTTGTCACCTTTGTTTGGGGCAATCTCCAAATTAAGAGCTCCAACAGAACAAACAACATCTCTTCTACGTTAAAATGTATTTTGAAGTGAAGGGACTTTGAGTCAGTACTATAAAAGCTGCTACTATAGAACAGCAGTTCCCAAGCTTGTTACACTTCCGGTGAAGTGAGTAAAATGATGGAAACTAAACTGCAATTAAATAAAAATTTAAAAAAATTCCCAAAATATTCTGGGAAATTATCTGAATGTGTTTGTCAAATTTAATTGTTTTGAAAATGCAACATCTGTTGCATCTGAACAATATGCTTAAATCGACTTCCTTTAGCAAAATGCTAACTATGTTTGTCATCTTTATTCCACCATTTTATTTATGTGTCAAAGTATTCATTTTTTTTGTTTAGGTATTTGCATGAACGTTTTGGTCAACTGCAAGAGGAAGTGAATCTGCTAAAATCTAACATCATGAAATACAAGGTACTGACATTGTACTACACATTATTTTTTTTGGACTTCGGCAGAAAAGATGGCTCATTGCCATTTAAAGATAAAGGTATACAGCAGGGGTGTCCACACTTTTTCGTTTAGGGAGCTACTTATTAAATGACCAGGGAGAAGTGATCTACCTACTGTACATTGAAAACTCTAAATATATATTTACTTGAATAAACTGACTATATTAATATATACATTATATGTTATATACATTACACTGTCTGACTCGATACTTATGTGATCTTTACATTAGACTTAGTGATATGTATCTTAAGAGAGAATTACATCTATAATTTTAATTATTATTTCTTTGAATGTAATTGCTCAGGATCTAACAGCACTCCCTTTGAGATCTACTGTAAGATACTCTGGTATAGAGTAAAGCAGTGAACTGCTGTTCAGACCCGGGTTTTTAAACAGGTGTGTAAATAATTCAGCTGTGCTCAATCCTTGTTTTTTTCAAGCAAAGCATATTACTAACATTTCATTTAAGCATTAATCAAGGCACCGTGTTAAATTTGCGTATTGGTAGCATAATATGTCCCTTATAAACAATGATTTATGATAACCCAGGGAATTTAAAGAGACCTGTTTCTGTTGTTGTTGCCCACTGCCCTTCTCCCCCCTCCTCAACACAGACTGCTCTTGAGAGGCGGAAAGACTCCAGCACATTTGGGAAATCAAAGCACAGTCCCCTGACTGGAGTCCTCTCAGCCAAGCAAGGTGAAACACAAACACTTCACCTCATTTTAATCCCACGCATGCAAGACCAGCCACAGCAGCTCATCACTGAGCTCTACATACTGCTCTACATCAACTCTCCTTTACAGTTCAGTTTGGATTAAATAAACCTCTTTGTCTTTCGCAATAAATCATGCTGTTATTTAATGAATCCACTTTTTGCCAGTTTTTAAAGCCACTGCCGGACACCAGCTGGGTTACTAATTGTATGCAGAGCAGTGGAGAGCGGCTCTGGCAGGCAAATGAGCCTGCCATGATGACTGACAGTTGCTGGCAGAAGCAGCACAGTGGGCTGGAGTTAAAGTTAGGAGAGTGTCACTGAGTAGACAGCTGTTTCTAACTCTCCATCTCTCTCTTGCTCCTTTCATGCTGTTTTCCCCATCTCTTATGATAATTCTGTGTTGTTTTTTCTCTTTGGAATTGGAATTGGAAAGTTTGTTTCCTAAAGGACAGACACAGTGATTCACAAAATACATACAGTTGTATTGTAATTGCCAATGAAACAAAAGGTAATCCAAATGACAAAGAATGAGCAGCATGTATGCATAAATTGAATCCCAAAGTATATACATATACATACAGGCATTTACTTTGTTTAGGTATATGTAAATGTTTGCAACTTGTGAAATGTTTCTTATCCTTCTTCTTTTTTTCTCTCAGTGCAGGAGATGCTTCTGGAAGAGCAGGGTTGCAGTCTGCCAGCCACTCCTCAGTCCATCCATGACCTCAAGTCTCTGGCCACTGCTCTGCTGGAGACCATCCATGAGAAGAATTTGGTCATTCAGCACCAGAGGCACACAAACAGGTACTCGTGCAGCTGCATGTGCATTTCTAAATTAATCCGGTGTTCAGGTTCATCCTTGGAATTTGTCCACTCTCACTCAACACTTGATTTCATCTCCTAGTAGATGAAAGGAGGAGAAGTATCCTTCTCCTCCTCCAAGGCAAACACTGCATTGAAAGACACAGGCTCATATTGTTTGAGTAACCAGACTCTTCACTCGCTCTGCAGGATCCTTGGAAACCGAGTTGCTGACTTAGAGAGAAAGCTGAAGACCCTGGAGGTTTCAGGACTCTGGAGCCTTCCAGGTAGGTCTTGAATCCAAGATTTACAGTTCCCACTTAATTTTGGATTTTTTTTTTGGTTAACAAAAGCACGTTGACAATTGGTTGTTTATTTAATAATTTGGCTATTATTAAACTATTGTTAAAAGGTTTTTATTTTCCCACATACTTTAAAACAACTGTTATCGAATTGCATTAAATATGTCATTTGGTGTAAGTCCAAAATTGTGGCACATTGGCAGCAATTTAACTGGGACTGCAAAAGAATTCTAAAGGTGTTTTTACTATTACGCCTTTAGCAAACACAACCATGTGACTGGTGTGTGTGTGTCTATGTGTGTGTTAAAAACCGTAGTAATCGAAGTGTAACATAGTGCCTCCCAACCTGGTCAGGTTGTAAGACAGAGAGGATGAAGATCCTGTAATGATTTAAAGTACAGAAAAAAATAAGATTTTTGTATGTTTTTTGTATTTATAATTGATTTTGGAAAATAACAATGTACTCAGGTGTATTTGAGATATTATTGATAGCATTATTTGCCTTTTGAGCCAAAAATTAGCTTAAAATTAGGGTTAGGTTGACTGTACTGAGGTTGATTTCAATTTATTTTTTTTTCAATGGGATTTTAATATTTTTAACTGTGTTTGTTTTCCCTCCCCTCTTACTTGCTGCGTTTTAGGCTTGACCTACCGTTTATCTGTGGGAATTGGGAGTATGTATTCTTTACGCCTCACTTAGCCAATCCATGCACTTCTCTGTGTCATGCCGTGCTTGGACAAATCATGGTAGAAACCCAGAAAACATATCACCTCATGCCCACTATCTGCTCTGTTGACCAACTAACTGATGTCTTTCACTCATAAAACCATGACCTGTCCCATGTCTTCTGAATGTTATGTGGTAATCTTTTTTGAGTATTCGTCTATCTCACACTCAGAAAAATATCATAATATATGTTTAAAATGTAAAGTTAGTTGCCCTCAGAGCAAAGTACAGCTTTGTTTTTGCCAGAAAACTTTTTTTTCTGCTTTTTTATGAATGTTCTTATAAAAAACTAAAGAACTAGAGCGAAAATTTGGGTGGGGGATGGCTGCAGGGGATTACCAAAAACAACCTTTAACTGCTCCGATTATTTGAACAACAGACAGATGTTGTCAACTCGTCCACTTCGAAAACAGCTGCACTCTTTCTCCACTGGAGGGAGGTGTTGTGTCACGTATGAGCCCCACTGAGCAGTGGCGGGGCTGCGGCTGGATGCCGGCGCCCTGTCATGAGACCGTCATTCTCACTGCCATAAAGCTGACAAGCATCCATTACGGAAAATGATTGCCCACATTACAAACACATTTAGGCGAATGTGCCGTTATTAGGGAATTTGTAGGCGAGGGCCCAGAGTGCCTGACGACCATGCTGTCCACCACAGTTAGGGAGACACAGATATAGATAGAGATGTGACTGTCTGCGGCCTTGACGGGATATGAAGTTAGGCTAATGGATATTAAAGGCAAACGGGACAGGCTACCTGAGGCCTGAAGAACGCTAGAAGTGACTACATCCTCTGGAGATGAGAGAAAGAAACAATAACAGTCACATCAATGGACTGACTCAGATAAAGAAGTGATCAATGATTCCATCCAACTCAGTTCCTTGTCTGCACCTTGTCTACACCTTGTCTACACCCTTTGCAGAAGAAATTGCAGGTTTAAATGTAACAAGGCAAGTAAAAGCATTTAGGAGAGTATATACACTGGGAATAACTAAAGGCACACACTTTTCTGCAGATGCTGACATTTGTTTTCTTATTTTTTCCCCCCTGTTTTATGATGTTCATAAAACTTATTGTTGCAGGTTAGATTTAATTATGACACAAATGTGTTGTGTTGTTAGATACAGTACATCAGTTTTTCCCAACCTTTTTTGCTTGGCCTTGGTGCAAAAAACAAAAAAGAAAGATCTAATTTTCTATTTTACTATTGAGTGTGAAACCCGGGCATCTTGAGTTGAATGCTATAGTGATATAATCACAGGACTTGAAGAAACACACAAACATAAATATATAAAAAATTAATAAATTATATTTTTCAGATAAGTTAAGTGAGATCATTATCTAAGGTACACCTAAAGATCTCTCACGGCACAATAATGTGCCACGGCACAATGGTTGAGAATCACTGATGTACATGGTTAGTTGCCTCCTGACTGCTGCAGCTCAGCAAGGATATTATTTGGATAAATGATAAGAAGACAGCCCACACCATAATAAATAGGTGACGCTAACATGTCAATAAAGCATCCTGTGAAGAGAGTCAACATCTACTGCATGCTATCCCTCTGAACTGTTTATCATCTACTTAAAGAAATTACAGTGTGCAACAGAAACCTGGTCATTTAAAACTGTTAAAACTGCAGAATGTTTATAAAAAATGGACAGAGCTATCTGTAGCAGTCAGTGAAGCCCCAGAAGCAGACTGGGAGTAGCCTGCTGGTTTCAAAGAAACTGCATTAATGGAAATCCATGGGAGTATGGGGGCTACGTCTCACTCAGTTTAGAGAGAGTTTTCGGTCTTAGTGACTATTTTCAGCTCTCCTTCAGTATGATGTGGTGCTGGGTTGGTAAATTATGATTCCATTTGAAGACTATCAATCAGGGGTTTACCAACCACTGGACAGGGGATGGGAACCAGGCCTCACAGAAGCAATAAAAGTATATAATAAAAGTTTTATTTATTATATATTTTTTAATATTCATAAGTCTGTCTGGTGTTTTATTATAAAACATGATCAATTGAGTCAGCTCTACTACATGAATTATAGTGTAATTATAATAGATATGATTGAGTGGTCCATGAAATAATTGTCTCGCTTAAAACTGAGCCGTTGTGCTTGTGAGTGCAGCATGTTGTCAGACCGCAACTGGGTGTGGATCATGTGATATTCACTCATTTGAAAAGACTTGTTTTCCTATTTATATGATTTTCCTGTTAATTATCAGTAGTCATTAGGTCATAAATGTTTTGGAATCGTTTTAACTGTTACAGTATAATGGTGTAATTTTTTTATTTGAGTTCCATTTTTTTTTAATAGTTTGGAACATTATACTGTAGATATGTCCATTTTTTTATGTATGGCCTACAGTAAAATAACTAAATGACAGTGTGTGATTTTTAACCTCACTTATTTTTAAAACTCTCACCCCTCATTGAACCCCACCTCACCTTCTTCCTGACTGTTCCCACATCACTGTAAACATCCAGCATCCATAGCAGTGCTAAGTCTGTTTATCATTCATGATGTCCGTGCACAGTGTCACCCACTCATCCATTTTCTTGTCTAAGGGAGACCTGGTGCTAAATATTCACATGGTTTCTCTGGGTCACGTGCACACCTGCACACGTAAAGGCTTCTGTTGATCTAGATTTGTGTGTGTGTGACGTCTGTATTATAGGACACATTCTACTATGAGTAGCATATGGTGTCAGACTAAGAGGCATGCAGCCATCACTAATGAAGACAGATGACAAGAAACCCATGCTACAGCTTCACTGTAGGGACGCTGTGTTGCATACGTGTTTGTATGTTGACACACTATGATATGTTGTGTAAAAGCACGGAAAAATAAACAGCGTCTTTAACTTCATTTTGAATCGTCTAATGAGGCCTCAAAGTACTATATATACATTTCTTTAAATGAAAACAAGAAATGAATGCTCAATTCATTTTGTAAATTGTGCACCAGCTTTAATTATCTTTATCACAAATATAATTGTCAAATAAATTGGAATTGTTACAATACTACAAAGCTACAATACTGCTTCCACTGGCAATGATGCCTAAGTTGCATCAGCATTAGCTTCATTCTTGACTGGCATCCATGTCTTGGGCTCATTTTTGATCTAAAATTCAAAGATATGTTCAAACTCTGAATGGACATTTTAACTTTAAGTGCTAAATACAGACCTCTATAGATGACTAAAGAAGACAATGACACTGTGTTCAGTTTCTGTGATCACTCTTAAGTTGAAAGTAACTGCAATTTCTTTGTTTGTTGGTCTTTCAGGGACACGAAACAGCATCACGCTGAATGAAAACCTTCAACCGGAGCTTCGTCCAACACCGGCCACATCGCAGCCAATCATGCAGCCCATGGTACAGCCACCCAGGGGTAAGTGTGTAAACTGCCGCTGTTGATGAAACCCCACCTCTGTAATTAGCCACCACATGCTTAACACTCACTGCCTTCTTCTACGTCTAATCCACGTCTTTTGCATTCCCCACTCTGCTCCACTCGGCTCCTTGTTGGTGCAAGCTGCCCAAATGCCATGGCATTTTGGAAATGTGAAGCAAATTCTCACCCGCTGACATTCACAATCCTGTGCCATATTTTCTTTGAGAGGGTTTGGGGGCATAAATATGGATGCTAAGTTCAAGTCCTGTTGCTTTATTTCCTGCATGTTTTTGCATGTGTTTTTCATTGGTGTGGTCTGTGTGCAGTCCTTAACCTTTTTGGCGCCACTTTAACGAATATGGGTCAGTAATTCCCAAAGTGAGAGCACATCTTGGCGGGAAGGAGCAGAACTAAGCTGTTGCTGTTGCTGAGACGCAGGGCGTCACACTTGTCTTGCGTCCCGTCGTCTGGGCCACTGCTGCTATATTTAGCCTGTTGCTATGGCAGCACTTCAGTCACATAAGTAATTGAAATAACTTTGTTCATCACTGGAGTGCATTTCCAAAAGAGCCAAGATTTCTCCTGCTACTCTTCTTTTTTTTTTTGTCTGACTGTCAATGAGCTTTGGATCATTCTATGAAGGATACAAGTTAGTGAATAGTAAAAAGAGCAAACAAATACTTGAGTGTAAGTAACAGTTGACTTTTAAACAGTACCATTGGTAACGTTTATATTAGATTGACTAGTATGATAACCGTGGATCTAATATACAACAAAGGTGATCAACTATCGCATCTCTTTCCTCCCTAATGTGTCAGACAGCAGAGGTCCAGATGAATTACTGTGGGAATGCCACACCCCTGGCAGCGACCTTGGCACAGATGGCGTCAGTGGGGAAGCCACACCTGCACTGCTCAACAGTGTGGAGACACTGGCAGGGTTGGAGAGGAATGAAGTGGACAGGAGTGGCAGGGAGAGAGTGACCCTGATGGTGGATGAAGCCGGCAAAGAAGAGTTGGACCAGCAGCGCAGTCCGGTGGAGGAGGCGGGGCAAGAAGTGGAAGGAATTGAAGATGAAGAACTATGCTCCACAGTAGAGGAAGGAGAAGAGGCGGCCTTAGCGCTGGATGTTCAGCCTAACGAATTAGAGCTTCCTTGGACCCTGAACGTTCGAAGCCTTTGTGGTCGAACAGAGGCAGGACATAAGCGCAGTGTAACTCAGGACACTGAGTCTCATGAACAGCCATCAACACCAACTCCAGAGCATCAGGCCTCAGAGGCATCGAGCACTGTAGAGTGTGCTATCCTCTGGCCCTCTGCACAGAGTGACTCCTGTCAAAGCAACAACTTGGCGTGAGACACTTAAAGTTAATCCAACCTTTTGTCCGTTTCATCCTCATGGATAATTGTATTAATCATCCCTCAGTGTTCCAGCAGCCTCTGCTCAGCAGCTCCCAGTTCCACCTGGCGGCCTTGTTCTAGTCAATAACGCAGAGAGAACACTTCAACTTCCCAGCCTCTGTCTACAGTGCCAGAGGTGCGTGAGTATCGAGACAGGCTTGTTGCTACGCAGGAAGGGAAAATCATGAAATCAATTGAGTTTAAATCTTTTTGCCCTACAGGCTGAAACGAAGCCAAAACAATAACAAATATGGCCGCATAAACTCTTTCCAACTCTAATCTCTTCTTTTCAGCTGCGGTTGAATAATCACAATTCTTTTCTTACTTCTGGCATTTCATTACTACTCACATATTGGAGTTTACAATGTAAAATATAAATAATCTAATGACTGCTCAATGGTCCCTTGTTTCCATATTTAAAAGTCAATATTCAGAAAAGACTGTATGTGCCTTACACACTATGATAACTTGTGCTGATACTTACTAAAAGTAAAAGCAAGTAAAAGCAAAACAATATCTCGTTTGTGTCAGTAGGTGTTAATCTTACTCAAGATTGCAGGTAAATGTCTGTTGATCGACAGCTCAAAACATTTGAAAAAAGAGCTAAAATTGACCAAAATTACAAAAATATGCATGGACATATGAAAATATGTTGAGAATAAAATAATACGGCCTAGTCTTTCTCCTAGCAGGTGACAGCTGGCCTCTCCAGGCAAACACAGCATCAAAGCCAGAATCCATGAAATGCTTATTCTGCGAAAGACTGCTTGCTATTTTTAAATCTCTGATACAAAATAGAACCGAGGAACTGGGGAAAAAAAATCTGGAGCTAGAGAGCTGTGGTGTGTACCCAGTGTGGGCCCTGCGCCAGGCAGCTGATTTGGCACACTGGCAGTAGACCATATTTTTTTGTTTGCTATGTTTATAAACCAGATGGAATCTAAGCTATGAACAAAGCTACATGATTCCATCAGGTTCCCGGGCTGAGCCACAGTCCAATTTAAATGCCTTAAAGATGATAGGGAATGATTGCTCTGGGTCTTTCTAAAAGTAGTTGCAAGATTTACTGTATTGCCTGACTGCGGGGTAAAATTTTAGTGAAAGTAAACATAGTTTCCTCCATTTTCTTTGCAGAATTATTTTTTTTAACCATTCCACTGGCCAACTGGCCATGTTGATCATGTTTAGCCTTTTTTTTTTCATTTTATTCATGAATCAATTGATCTGGGATCAAACCAACAAACCAGTGAGCTTATTGGTGTAAGGCAAGAGTACCAGTCATTCTCCCACCATTTGCCCTTTATGAAAATGTCTTTCAAATCTCAATAGTAGACTATGTAACACTACATTTGCAGGGCTGCTGTCTGTTGTCTGTATTCTCTTTTTTTGATTGTTTGCAATAGTCAATGCCAGGTAGAAAGGTTGGATTAATCAAAAAGAAAAAAAGACTTGTTTGGTTACAGCAATTAAACTCAAAAGGATGCAGATGCAGTATAATTACCTTGGCAATGCTGAACTCCCAGCGAGATTGATAATGGTAAGATATTGTGGGATGAGACCATTTTAGCATGGCTTAAGGTGAGGAATGCAAAAAGAAATCACATTTGTGTCTTTGGCTTTATGCTCTGTTTGAATTTTATTTAAAATCCCTCATCATTAATGTTATTTTAAGAAGCCACCAATAAATGTAACCGTCTAAATATCAGCATTTTATTTACTTTTACCTTGCCTGGCTCAATCTCACACCTAATTATCGCACAAACCACTACTTAAGGTGGCTTCCTGCAAGGATTTGAAGAGCCATTTCAAGGGTTTGTCAAACAGCTGAAAAGTTTAGGCTTCTTCTCCAGACTCCTTGAGAGAGTGAGGAAAGAGAGAGTTGCAAAGAGTTGCTGTAACCAATCACAACCAGTACAGATAAAATGAGGCAACAACGCTGCCAGTAGTCCCATGCCATACACCAGTCTTGGACTTTTTTTTGTGACAGTGACATACTCCATAGAATGACAGGATGGCTTGTGCATTGTAACTGGCCCACATGCTGTGTGAATCACTCAGATCAGTTTTCACTTCTATGTTTGTAGTTGAAAGGGACTTCAAAAGAGGAGTCATCTCAAGACTTGTGAGGCCTGTCATGTGATTTTGGTTGTACTTGTCTACTTCCCTCTAGTGTTGTAGAGGTTCAGGTGAGTTGTACCATTTCAGTCCGCAGCCATTGCGGGAAAGCACAAGGTGTTCCTGGCCATATTAACAGCAGCTCCGATGAGTCTCTGTAATTAGTTACACCATTTTACACCTGTGCTTTTCTGTCTCTGACATGTCGCAATGTGTGCCATCAGCTTTCTTTGTGCTGATCCCAAAACCCCTCTATATAATCCGAAACCCCAGCAAGAGAAGTAAAAGAGACCAGTCGGGTCACAGCAATGCACACCAGCTCTAATAGGTGTGACCAGGGAGCCTGAGGGCAGCTCCATGTAGGAGGCTATGACACCCCCTCATCTGTGGCCCTCCAATGGTTTGAAGAATGGGGGTGGACAGGGGAATTTGGAGCCAGCAGTTTCCAAGCTAACCACTCAGTAGGGTTAATTACTATACCAACCAGATGCCCTTTCCAGTGATGGTCAAAGCCCATGTGAGCTACGCTTCATTCACTCATCTTGCGTCTCCACGCTTACCTGAGTTTTATCATGTGGTGCCTCAAAGACCCCCGTAGATTCGCTCCCCTGTGATGTGATTTGAGAAGTGTAACTTTCTGCTCTGCTGCTGACAAGACTGTTATTAACAGAGATAATAGAGGATGAGGGAAAAGAACAGGCAAAAATGTGTCAGTCTTTTTTCTCCTTGCCTCATGTGGCGTTAATAACGGTAATGTAGCACCGATGCCATATCCATAACTGGATCATTTGCTTGGTCTGCACTTTCATTTGGTTTTTATTATCTGTAATTATTTTGTGATTTTTCACGTTACCACGAATCAGTTGCAGATTAGTAAAGACTAGAAGAAGTTAAAGGTTTATAAGGTTTAAACTTTATATTGGAAGGCCAGGCAATTATAACAGAAGGTGGTAAAGTTATGTTTCCTGATGGCCTAATGCTGTGGTGTTAATGTTTTGTGAGGCCCATCTTACATACACAGTACAATTTTAGCATGTCCAGGATATAAGTGATTAACATACCCTGGATAAAACAATCAAGACAGTTACTCATTATTGTAGCTCCTAGAAATCATACTGGCATCACAATGTCAGGGAATGTACGGACGAATGTTGTCTTGGAATGTGGAAGAAATACCTACAGTCATTTGATTTATTTATCCTATTTATTTCTTACACTAATTTAACAATAAATCTTACCTACTAACGTACCCAGCTTCATAGCATGGTAAATTTATCAGCTATTTTCTTCAAAATATAAGTTGGAAAACATAAATATTTAAATACTATAAAAAAGGAATTTTAAGTGGTAATTGCTGTGGTTTCACTACTAAAAGTTGTAATTACCCATTTTAAAAGGTGATCATAACAAATGAAATAAATATATATGAATTTTAGAAGAAGAAAAAAACACAGTAGTCTTGTGTTCCAGAGAGTTTTATTGTACCATATAATGTATTCAGCAGTTGTCCCCTGCTGGCTTACTTTTATTTTCTCTCCTTTCTAGGCTTCACTTGAAAAACCAGAGGATAAGTCCATAGTCTATGCTTTTAGTATGAATACTGTATTTCATCCTTTGTACTAACAATTGCAATATTAATAGCAAACATAAGCAATATTTATTATAATCCCATCATGGAATTATGGGATACAGAATTTTTTTTAAGCATCTATGTCTCTTGTTATCTGCCATATTTGTACTGTAGACTAAATGGGAAACAATTAACAATGCTTCCAGGGATACTCCCAGTTAACTCAGTTAACGGGTTCAAACTACCAAATGTTTCATACTAAAACATATGCATAATGGAAAGCTATTTATTTAGTTGCAATACACAACTTCACCACTGGATACCCCTTCAGTAAGTTAGCTCACGCTGTTCCTTTGGATGGAACTTTTAATATTTTTATACTGCAGATGGACTGTAATTACTCTGAGACGGACGTCACCTCTCATGTTATTAATAACAACATGGCTCCAGGTCCCAGCTGGGGAGGAAAGCAAGCAAAGTTGCCAGATGTTGAAGGCACTTTGGGAACTGGTGAATGGGCTGATAAGCTGAAAGGCCACACCGGGGGTCATCACGTATCTACAGCATAGAGTCAGATCTCTATTAAGATAGAAGATGGTGGGCTTGTGTGATAAGAGGAGACAGAACCTAGTGATGGGATATTAAGCATGAGGTACTGGCACTACACTTTAATCATTAATTTACAATGACCTAGCAGATGGCATTGTCCTTCAGCAACAAGGGAATCAGGTATTGCTAACATTAAGGGCTCTATTATTTGCTTAACAGCTGAACACTGACAGTTAACACTTTAATCATTAATTTACAATGACCTTTTCAAAGTACAATAGTAAGTTTTTGTTGTTTTTTTATAACAGAGAAAGCATTCTAATTTTGTTTTGTGGTGTGTGGTAGCTTCAAAAACAACATCCCAACACGTTGACAGAATAAATTATTAAATATTTTGGATATGATCATATTTCCTTTTAAACTGCCCATTTACAGTAAAAAAACCCTCATGTTTAAAGCTAAAGACAACCCTTTTGGATTATTTCTACAGAGGGAAAATTCAAATTAGTGTTGACTGTTAATATTTTGCAACCAGCTCTTCAAAGCTCAGGAAGTAATTTAGTTAATGATTAGTCCCTTGCGTTGCCCATGCCCTCCCTGCCACCATGCTATGTTTGCCAGGGCTATTTCATAGGCAATTGGGTCGCTATTTAACAGTGTGTGAAAGAGAGACAGACAGAAAAGTAGAAAATCCCCAGTATTTTAAATTATCCTTGAATATTAGAGCATTATGACTTGTTCTAACGTTGACTTCAACATTAACCATCACCATCAATCCCTCTGCTTTAAGCAATGAGCCATTCACCATTATGCAGCTTGTTAGCAAAGTCCAGGATGTGCAATTACCTGTGTCAATGGCAATGATTATCTTCAGTAAAAGATTATTCATCACTTTATAATTGTTAAGGTTGAAGGGATTTCTAGTCCTTACAATAAAACTCAAAAGTAAAAATATATATTTATGCTCCTCACTTTTTTCTTTTGAAACTCAAACATATCTGTGTGTGCTGTTGTATTAATCTAGAATTAATTCAGAGAGAGGAAAAAATATATAATCTAGGTAGTGTTTTATTTTTTTAAAAACCCATACATACAGTAGTATAATCAACAAAATGTTACACTAAGACCAATATAAGAGACGTCCTCATCCATACTGAGACGTCCTAGAGGCAGCCGTGCGCCCTGCATCCTCCCCCCGCATCCAAGCACCACCGCATTGACTTCCACGGATAGCATCATGCGCGGGACTCGGTAACCTGGAGCCTTTTTTGCCCTGCAGAGACTCCACTTGGTCTCACAATAGACGTAGACTTTAGACCTCTTTCTGTTAAACGCAAAACAAAATGAGGTAAGTGTTTCCGGTCGGTCGAATTGCGCCGGTGCTTTAATGCTTGAGAATGTATGAAGTCATAAATTTGCAGCTAATCGGTTGAGAGACATAAATGGCAAGGTAATCAAACTACTTCTTTTGGAGTAATCTAACCATGAATAATGTACTTAAGAGGTTTACTGGTGTTTGTGGCATTTACATGAGAAAGAAAAGCGCTCGTTTTGCAGGCTGTTTGTTGCTATATTCTGGCAAAGTAGCCATGCTATCGCCAACCTTGACAATTACAGCTAACGAGTTAGCAACATGGCAAAGGCTGTTGCTAGCACAGAGATGAAGGGGCGGGGTTGCCAGATTTGTATTGATAGCCGACTACAGACGTAACGTGTTTTTTCAAAACGATTTATAACATATTTATAAAAACAAAAAAGAGACAAACACAACAAATTCTCTGTCAGGTAGAACCCACAGATTAAATAGGTACCATAAAGCTATTCAAACTAACTTTCTGACCCCGCAATTTTTTTAAATGTATAGTTGTCTTTATAAAGTTTCTTCTTAGCTGTTTTTTAAACAAACATGGCAACACGTAGCGGGGGGCGTGAAATGAAAGCAAAAACGACCGATGTGGCTAAAACCCTGTGTGCCCTGACTCTGTGTGGTTTTAGTTTAAACCTCCGTTATGTGACGACATGCATAAACATAAAGTCTGTAACCCATGCTACATCTGTTTGCAAAAACAAGATGAAGCTGAGAGCAGGACTGAGTTGGGCTAACGTTAACAGCAGTTACTTCCTTGCCAACATGAGACGTCACGTGCCATCGTCGTTGCAGGAGTGAAACGTCACGTGCCATCGTCGTTGCAGGAGCAATGTGCATTTGAATATGATTAAGCACAACTTGACAGGCTTTATGCCTTTTTTCCCTCAGTCAATCAATATATTCTAAAATAATATGAAACTGTCGAATACATTTGAATTAAATTGTATTGCACATGTTAACAACCCAAAGGTTAAAGATACAATTTTACAATATGTGGAACATATGCAAATTCCACGTGACTCACACAACCATAAACAAATCCAAAGTTCTCTCCAGGTCACCTTCTTTCCTCTGTAGCAAATATAGTGTTTTGTGGATTGTGTGTCATTAGCTTGTCCATGACCTTTGCGTGCTGTGATCAATTAGATTGCTTTTTGCCACCGTGGATATCAAAGGACTTTAACCTTTTCATGGTATTTTAGAGTAAAAGAACTTAACACTGTATAATATTTGCACACTTAATGTTCCATGTTGTGACCAAATCTGTCCCCCTGGTGGAGATCAGGGCTATGATGTGCCAAACTTTAACCATGTGCATTTTGCTGTTGCAGGCGTCACTTTGACAGAGACAGAGGCCGTGATAAATGGTCAAAAGACAGGGACCGTGACCGGTATCAAGACCGTGACAGAGAAAGGGATGTGAAGTCGTCTGGGGTGCACAACAACAACAACCCGGCTGCATTCAGTGCAGGCATCCTGAAGCAGAACCCTTTACAGCAGCAAATCAACCCTTTCACCAACCTGCCCCACACGCCGCGCTACTATGACATCCTCAAAAAGAGGCTTCAGCTGCCGGTGTGGGAGTACAGAGAGCCCTTCACTGACATCCTGATGCGGAACCAGTCTTTTGTGCTTGTAGGAGAGACAGGTTCTGGAAAAACCACTCAGGTGTGGATTTTGAAAGATAAGAAATACTGAAAAGCAAGTCACTTTTACCAACAAACACAACTTTTATTTGTTCTTTACTAATAGCATTAGTAAACAACAAATAAAAACTTCCATTTTGTTTTAAAGCAGGACACGTTTTTCCTTTAGTCTCCTGGCTTCCTATCAAAAATATAATTTTTGTGCACTTTTTGTTATTTTTTAATGATGTTGTAACATAAACACAAATTGCCTTGTGATCATTTTTAATTAATTAATTAGTTAATTTTATTTAAAAAAAACTTGACCAGGACCTGTTGTCTTTTGCAGATCCCTCAGTGGTGTGTGGACATGGTGCGTTCACTGCCAGGACCGAAGAGAGCAGTGGCCTGCACTCAGCCGAGGAGAGTGGCAGCCATGAGTGTCGCTCAGAGGGTGGCCGACGAGATGGATGTCGTGCTGGGCCAAGAGGTCGGCTATTCTATTAGGTTTGAGGACTGCAGCTCTGCCAAGACTGTTCTCAAGTAAGAGGACCATTCAGAAAAACTGATTTTTTTTTTCCAGGGTTTCTTGGTTGAAGTAAAAACATCAAAATGTTGATGACAAATATTATAATAATTTTTTTAGCCTGTTGAATAAAACAGCACTTGAAATATATATATTTTTCTGTTTTTCCAAATACCTTCAATATATTCAATTTGGACTTTATGCATTTCTGTTCTGACACACTTTACTACTGTTTTTTTCCGGACTATTAGTTGGACATTTTTTCAACCTTTGGCTAAGTTTGCTACTTATATATTAAGATATATAATTCCGTTTGTTATTTTCACACTGACAGCCGCAAAAGGACACTAGGCTTGAGTACCAGTATCTGTTACTCCTGTACCACTGAAAATGTACATGTTCATTATTTTCACACTGACTCTAGCTGGCTGGTGCGACCTATACTTATGTCTAGAAAATACGATAATAATGTGTAATAGGACGAAGAACCACAAACAATGTCATTTTATAAGCCATATTCAATTAGACTTTAGAATTTGGATTTTCCATAATTATGTTATATATATAATACTCAGTGTAATTAATTAATACATTTAACCAGAAATTAAACTGTGATAAAGGTACAATATATTAAAATCCTATTTTATAATAAAATAAATCAGGTTTAATATGCACTATAAAACCTTTTTTTAATAAATATTTGTTCAATATATTTTCCTGGTAATTTAATGCCACTCTATGGGATGACAATATCTTTACAAGTAACTTTCTCTTTTTTTTCCCTTGCTGTTTTTCTTTTGTTTACTCAGGTACATGACAGATGGAATGTTGCTGCGGGAGGCCATGAACGACCCCCTGCTGGAGCGCTATGGTGTCATTATCCTGGACGAGGCCCACGAGCGCACACTGGCTACAGACATCCTCATGGGGGTCCTGAAGGAAGTGGTCCGTCAGAGACAGGACCTAAAGGTAAAAATTTTATTAAAAAAAAAAAAAAGGTGTGTTTGTTGGATTTGTTAGGAGATACATTTTAATCAGCTTTTGAATTTATTTTGTCTCCTTTGACAGATTTTTAAATCTTGTTGACAGAAAACTTTCCTCTTACAGTAGATGCATGTCCATGAATAATTTCTTATTTTTTCACAATTTCTTTTTCTTGTGTCCTGATGATGCAAATCTGAGTCGTTATCAAAAATGACAAATATAACCGTATTGTTCAAAGGACATCATTCTTTTTCAACAACAAAATATGTAGCCTCTGATGTTAAACTGAGTCAAATACAAGACATTGGGTCACAGATATGAGTGAACAGGCAGCCAGCAGTTTTATAGGCCATGTGCGTCAGAAGTAATCCTCAAACAGCAGATGGATAATAGCTGGTTTTGTGTCGGTGTGAAATCAAAGGTTAGGGTCGTTGTTCGCAGACTGTTAAATGAGGTCTAGGTTATTGGGAATGATCACCCGCCTGCACTCCTCTACCTCCCTCATCATCATTCCCTACCAAATTTGAAAGTTTAATTTGCCTTCATTAAGAGCAATTATGATGTCTCACAGAGCGTAAAGTGAAATGCGCAGACGTTGGCCCCTGAAAATGTTTGAGATTGAAAATGAGAGACGTGGTTCCCCATCAGAATCCTAATGTGTTTCATCTAATGTCTCTAGAGAGAACATTGTGTACCTAATATCAGAAACAAGGACTGTGTTGGTTTAATATAGGTCACTGACTATACATACCACCAGGTCACAAGTCAGTGACTTGGAGTTTGGACATTTGGACATCACCCTGGTTTTTGTAGCACACTATCTAGACTGCTTTCGACTAAAAGTATTTCAAATTTGAAATATAATATGGAATATCATATAACACATGGTGTTTTCTCTTTGTTTAGGTCATCGTTATGAGTGCCACACTTGACGCTGGTAAGTTCCAGGTGTATTTTGACAACTGCCCCCTGCTGACCATTCCTGGACGTACCCACCCTGTAGAGATTTTCTACACACCTGAGCCAGAGAGGGACTACCTGGAAGCAGCCATCAGGACTGTCATCCAGATCCACATGTGTGAGCAGGATGAAGGGGACGTTTTGCTGTTCCTCACTGGACAAGAGGTATGGGACTGAATTGTTTTCAAGCTTAAAATATTAAAATCTAAACTTCAACTTCTTAAATAAAAACTGGTTTGAAACACACTTCAATTTCTCTTCTAGCAATTTGTAGGAAGCAAGACATTTTGTCATCTAAAAGAATGTTTTTGAATTACTCATGATCAGTTACAATCATGATTAATTGTGATTAGTCCACAGCTGTGCGCTGATTAAAGACATCCCAAAGGAATTGGAAAATAAAACGCCTAAAAATATCACTTTTTCTAACTTATGCAATATGGTGTACATAACAACCATATTAAGGTGATTTAATCTATAGCTCCAGATGAATCTGCTCAAAGTCTCATGCAACATCTTAAATGTCTCAAGAGTTACACATGCAGTGATACTGTGTGTACCTTTTAATGTCTGCACAAGAATTAAATAAAAGTCCAAAGTTATGGTTGTCCGTGTGTGTGCCCGTACCTGTTGGACCAACTGAAGGGCAAAGAAAACACAACAAGTGACCCAGATTCTGGCCTTCCCTCTGAAATTAGGTCATTTGTTATTTCTCCTCCCTCTCTCTGCAAATGTTGTCCACTGATGTGATGTGTAATAGGGGGCAGGGTTCACACCCACTGTGATGAATTTGGTCACAGCTCAGTAGAAACACACACACACACACAGTGCCTGAAAAAAGCAATAACAATAGTTTTTATCTCCTGATCGTTGAACAAGAGAAACTTGTCAGAACCCAAAGTGATTACTCTCTCACCTCAGCGCCAGAGAACACGCAACGCTTGTGAACACTTATTGTATATCTGCCGTCATTACTATGGCATGTTCACATTTCCATAAATATTCACACCTGCATTACCTAAAGACAGTTTTGTCAGCAACAAAATACGTCACACAAGTCATGACTTTGCGGCTTTACCAATTAAACTGTGGCGGGATGTTTATTAGCAGTAATTATTTGTCAGTCAACAGCGACTCGACTGTTGCAGTACACCTACGTCAGTTTTCATTTGTCAGAGCCTGATCAATATGCAGCTTGTTATGAAGGGGATGAAGTCATTAGAGGGCACGCTGTTTGAAGTGGTTTCCTTTGAGGGCTGGTAATTGATTTTAGATTTAGAGTAACCACAGCTGCTCAGATGGCTAGAAACACCGATAGCCAGGGCTGTGAATCTAAGAAAAGTTTTGGCCTAAGCACACACTTTATGTTTTCAAGGAATGTTTTGGAAAAGCTATTTTTGCTATAAGACATAATTTGCGGACTCTAATTCCAACCCGACACACACACACTTCACTCTGTGAAGCTTCACTGAGAGCACTCCCACGGCAAGTTCATTATCACCCCTCCTCCTAATTGGGTTAAAGAAGTTAATGTGTACTAGGTCTGGCAGAGATGGGTGTTCAAAGGGTGCTGCAGCACGCCCCTCCAGCTCTTCTTAACCTCCTCACTTTCTCAGCAGCGCTGATGTAGACTAATGATTGCAAAGCAAATCTTTGGCAAAGCAATCAGCTCTCTTCTCGCTGCTTTCTTTTCTATTTAGGAGCAAATAAAACTGAAGCAGCGACTTTAAGAAGAAAGACAATTCATATCACAGCTGTCGAGCTATGATAAATCCGAATATTTAAGCCTACCCCTCAGCAGCTGACATCAAAACGTGAGTGTTGGCAGGGAGGATGTGTGCCCGGCTAGGAGTTCAGAAATGTTTCGGTTTTTATCTTGGATTGTAGATTGATGTTTCTGGGTTTGTAGGGAGAGCTGGAGGACGGGTTTCTGACAGTGGCCAACTGCCCCTATGTGCAGGTCTGCTCACACACAAGGCAGGCACACACTTTGTCTTCATGTCCCTAAGGGATGGACAGCCAGCTTGCTTCCAGGGATTTGGCAGAGAGGTCCATTTTTTTCCTGCATGGCAGCTGCTGTATCCAGAGGCTTGATTGGCTATTAATACCCTGGTTAATTTTACCAATCCATTCAGATTTACTGTTTTCCACATGTCAGTGTGTTGATTAAGAGGCACGTGGCCATCAGCGGGGTTTAACTTAATGCAATAAACAGCAGGACTAGGAGAGCTAATAACACTCTGCGTGAAGAAGAATAGGAGGCAAAATTACTGTTTTCTCTCGTCAAAGCCTGATACTGGCTTCACACACAGTGATAAATACATTTTTGCTCACTTTCTTAAGTTTATTAGATGGTAAAACGTTTTTTGTTTATTTTGTTTTTTTGTTTATTTTTTTTAAATCAAGAGCCACCTCAGTGTTGCTTTCAGAGTGACGCTGCTGCACTGTTCCCTAGGGCCTGCAGGTGGTGCAACAGCATTGGATTTAATGTGACGCCTGCATAAACTGCTGCTTCATGAGGATTAAATGATTGTTGTTAGACAAACAAAGAAAATGGGTTTCAGCAGCGGAAGTTGCTCATAATGAAAAGCTGTTATATTTTGTTCTGGTCCATTAAGAATGTTTGTGAGTGTAGTTATAGGTAAAATAAAACAAGAATTTCGATGGAAGTGAGGCAGCTGCGCCTGTGGAATATCTGGGTATAGTCAGTACATTTAATGTTGTATTCTAAAGGGCCTTTGGAGAACAGGGCCTCGTCCTGTGTTCGCTCTCGTGCGTTCTTACTCCTGGTGTTACTCAGGTCTTCTGTCTGCCTGCCAGCCCACCGGCTCTGGAGCGTTCAGCTTCACTAAACTGATCTGCCATGATTTGCCGCTGGTTATGCATCAGTGCTGCAGTCTCATCTCACATTCCCTTCTACAATTCTGCACTGTAAAATAATGAACCCTTTTTGAGTCCGTCTGGCTGAGTGTGTGTGTGTGTGTGTGTGTGTGTGTGTGTGCGTGCGCGTGCGTGCGTGTGTGCGCGTGCATGTTTTCCATGATTGCTTGCTGCATTTGACAACAGAGCCACAGGGAGCTCAACAAGGCACGCTGCAGTCCAGGTTTAATTTCCTCCGTCAGATGGAGCGATAGTTAGAACAAATGTACTGTAGCAGGGAACCACGGTTTCCCCGGCCGCTGCCTCTTCGCTTCTTCTTATCAACCAGATCCCCTGCCATTGTTTATCCAGGTGTGGTTGAAAACCTGTTTGATTCTGTTTTTTTTGCATGCATGAGCGCTGCCACGATCAAGTGTTGTGCTTCTATCTTTCAGGAAATTGACGAAGCCTGCAAGCGAATCAAGCGGGAGGTTGACGATTTGGGGCCAGAAGTTGGTGATATCAAAATCATCCCGTTGTACTCCACACTGCCTCCACAGCAGCAGCAGAAGATCTTCGAGCCACCCCCACCTAATAAACCAAGCGGAGCAATCGGAAGGAAGGTATAAGTACTTGGTTGCTATAAAAACACTCAGAGGGGGCGTTCGACACAGGGAGTTTGTTGGCGAGTCCAGGTGAAAGAGAAAATGAGTGGGGGTTGATGTAGAAAGAACAGATGGGGAATAAGATGGGTAAAGGAAGAGAGCTGGAAGGTAGGGACTGAAACTTTTTTCCCTTTCTCAGCTTTAGTGCAGAACTGACTCACACAACATATGCTGCTTTTGTCAGCATGCACTTCTCTGCTCTAAATTATAACTGGGATATTACTCACACCCTCTGAGCCCCGGGAAAGTATTGCATTCTCAGTCATTTTTATCTTTCCACTACATTTGTACGAGCCATGCCGCTGCTCAGAGAGGAGGCCTCAGACCTTTGCGGTCTGATTTGTCAAAGGTTATGTGAGCTGACTGAAATCAGGACTTTTCTTGCTGCACAGTAGAATTTTCTGCAATCGCTTAATCTCAAAGGATTGGATGATGTTCTTATTGATACAGACACAAGACAAAGCCTATCTTTCTCTCTCTTTTTTTTCTTCCACGATTTCTATTCATAGAGGCTCGTCTACTGAGGAACAGCACCACCTGTGCTGAACACTTCTGGCCAGAAATTTCACAGAACATCATCACTGCCAGTCAATGAGCACAACTCACACTCAGCATCTGATAGGAGAAGTTATGATGAATGATTTATTGCTGCAGCTTCTCTAATCGATGCAGAACAGGATGGGATACAGCATAGGCAGGAAAAACAAATTACTGCTACTTGTAAACACTCACTTCTACCAGTACTTTTGGAGTATCCACGTTCACTACTCAGACCTGTTTTTTTCTGACAGTTTTTGACAGTCATCACAAATCACAAAATTCTTATAATAAAAAAAATCATACTCATAATAATTTTAGATATGATACAGGAAATCTATGACTGAGTTACTGACAGGTTATGAGTAACTTGCATTGGTTGAAAAACAAAAAGTTTGAGCAGAGCTTGATTCTTAACACACCTGTTTGACAGCAATTGACAGGTTCTTTACCTTTATCTTAAAATGGTACCTGCATTCTCTGCCCTCTTCTTACCCTGTATTATGTAACCATGATACAGTGGTAGCAGTGGGTTAACATGACAATGTATTCCACATACAGTATTTCTTCAAAATCCTTCTTAAATGCTGACCTGCTGACTGGATTCTCAGCAGCAACCTAGCGGCTAAAGGCATTGCACAGTACTATTTCCCTATTTACGTTTTGGTGCTTGTTGAATGGGTGGTGGTCACATCTAAAGTTGCCTTGTTTGAAGTCAATGTTCTTTTTATGCATATCGAACGGAGCAACTCGTCAAGTAAAAAAATGCAAAGATGTCACCCAGTCCTGCCCAGGAGGAAGGGGTAAAACAGAATTAATGTCTGTCATTTCTGCGGCTGTGCATGTTAACGACAGCATTAAGCACCGCTTAATTAACATAAAGCTCTTACTCATCATTGCTTCTCTAGGATTGACACTGATCTGCCATTTAAAAAAACAGTTTTATCATTTAGAAACAAGGCTGAATAAGACTAATAATCAGGTCCGTAGTCTCTCTTTGCCTTCCAGTGTCTCAAATTGTCCTGAGCAAATGGGCTGACGTAAGTGTTAGCATTGCTTTTTGGCTTTTTTAAAATTTCACATATTCCCCACGTGTTACTTTTAATTCCTCCAAATGTTCATTCCAATGGACCCAGAGTGTGAGCGCGTCACTTCAGCTTCAGGCACGTTCTTTCTTCCCCAGTTGGGGGGAGCCTTTATTTGTCAACAAGGCTGTGTTTCCCAGTGGGGAATGTGAAAGATGGCCCGTATTAGCCATGGTACTTTCTCTCCTGCAGGTAATAACCCAGAAATAACATGCAGAGATGATGCTCTAATGATATTACTGATGAAGAAGCCAGGATTATCCAGTGCAGAAACAGACTGGAAGGAGCCGACCTGCGTACGCTGTAATGGCCCTAGGCTGGATAATCCTTCAAAATCAATGCAGCCAATGAGGCCACCCATATGATCATGAAATGTGAGAGGATGTCGTGTGTGGCATCTGCTGGAGCCCTGGCTGTGTTCCAACACAGCGCAGTGCAGCCTCACCTGTTCTGTGTTTTTTAACCAGACTGAAGCATTCCGCGTCTTTGAATCCTCGCTGGGAACACTGGCATATCCTGTCTGTCACGAGTCGCAGTCCGGTTGTCTGGTCTGTCATCATTAAGCCTGCCAAATTATTTTCAGACTGCCACAGTGTCCATAATTGCTTTCCCAATGATGTGACATCACTACACCTTTGGGCTTCTTATAGTACATTTAGCACTGCAAGAATGTAAGAACCTGTTCTCTGGAGCTTCGGGATTAGATTTATATCGAACAATAAACATGTGTGCACTTGTTCCTATGGAACGTGGCTTTCAAGCTGTACTGACCACCTGCAGAGGAAAAGGAGATGACTTGGTGTCAGATTATCAAGATTTCTGCAAAATCTCTCTTGAAAGAGTAGAGAATAAACCACAGTTGTATCGATACCAAGTACTGATAAGGATACTTCTTATGTTGGGTTTCAAGAAAGAGTATCAGGTGTGCTGGATTAGCACGTTGTTGAACGCATATTTGATTAGGAACACAGGTAAATTTACGAATAGATATTTGAATGAAGTATTGGTCCAGATACTGATACTGATATCAGTACATGTGCATCCGTATAATAACCACATCATTCTAATTGAAGGCAGTTAAAGATGAATGGCTAAAAATGGCCAGTTTTCACAACTAAACTGAGAAAGCAGCCGTCAAACACCTCTCACACCAATCCATGTGTTCCCTGTTGCCTGAAACAGTGGGTAAAATGTTGTCTCTCCTCCCGTCTCCCATGTAAGGCTGTGACACTGGAGTGACAGTTGCCACTAGCATCAGCTTTAACCTGGCTGCTGCACTCCACCATGTGCCACGATGAATCCAAAAGGATTTTTTTTTGTCCATTTGGCTTTGTGTGTTACATAAGCAAAAAAGCTTATCCCAGCGGCAGTCCTGATTGGAAGGAGAACTGCTGTGAATCTGCCTCCCAGTCTTCCCCTCTTTACCTAGTGTTTGTGTATATACCCACAGCCAGAGACCCACGGGGTGAAGTGACTTGTTTGCGTTTTCTTTTCCCCATCTCAGCTGTCATCTCACAGAGCCATATTGCTATAGGGTATAATTGTAAAGATGAGAGGCCGAGAGATTGTCTGGGTGCTCAGTTATACCCATTATTCTGTTTTTCAACCAGGCCAAAAATATTTCCAACATGGTTGATTGCGTACATGACACAACATAAAACACGTGTTGCTGCTGTAATCCAAATGTATTAGTTTGGATTAGTTTGGATTGATCTTATGCTCAATAGTACCCCAACAAATGTTACAATGTTAGATTATTAAATTTGACTAATGAGAAAAATTGTAGATTTATCTGTGTTGGCTTGGGTTGCAGCTCAGTTACTTAAGCCTGAATGAGTTTGCTGTAGGCTGGACAGACACATGTTAAAATATTACATGTCAGCTAACAACAAGAATGCGTGCACTCTATGTCACAGCCACAGTGATAGGAGACAGTGATGACAGGAACTGTAGCTGGTCACTTTGTTTCCGCTGTGTGGCTCCAGTGCGTGCACTACATATTGGAAATCCCTGCTGTAGCCCATAAGGTTTAAGTGCTTAACCCATTGGCTACCTCTGCTCAAGTCAGCTTCATTTTGGTAATGACGCTGTCATCAATGCCAAACATTTGTGTCAAACATAATGAATGAACTGCAATCATGGTTCTATAAGGATTATGGACATTCACAATGTCATGTTGTTTATATAATGAGTGAAGTAAATGAAAAACTAAATGAGTTTAAATCAGCCAATTTATCTAAATGAGTTATAATTGCGAAGTGACTGTTTTGTTACTTATTTCTTTTTATTTGGTTTTTAAAGTAATGGTCCTAACACTTGTACTTGTGTACAGCTGGAGAAGACATTATAGTTTGATGTAACCTGTTTCAAGTGTTGTCTGTCTCCCTCTGTGCAAATGTGTGTGAATGGTGAATTTAAATATATCCTAATAACTCATATGAGAGTTAACAGAAATAAACAGGCAGGGACAGCAGAGGTGATAGAACAGCAGGGGGAGGCCAGTGTGGGAGTGGGAGGGCTGGGGTGTGTATTCACAACTACTTACAATAAATTTCAAGTGGAAATGCTTCACATTAAGGCTTTTGTGAGATTCAAATGTTTTAAATTGAGTTAAATTGAATCTCCTTGGATGCAGTTGTTCCCTAACCTTAAATGCACAGCATTAAAAACAGCCAGACTATTCTGCCACACAACAGGAGCCAATCTGTGACGTGTGCACATTTCATTCACCTTAGATTGCTACCCTTAAGTGGAACCACACATCACATTTGGGGAAACCATGTAAAAACATTTCAACAGAGATCTCAACAAAGTTAGCAACATGCTACACACAGTCAGTGGGTTGCTTTTTTGTAGAAGAATATCTATGAGGTGATACTTTTTAGTGTAGTTGTACACTAATCTCTGAGGTAGGTTAACCATCATGCTAAGATTTTTTACATTCAACCATTGCTTGTTTAATAGGACAAGTTAATAGTGGTTTAGTGCAAAAAAAATAATCATCCATTTTGAGTCTGCCCTGGAGCAAAAATTTGACTTTTTTTATGTGTTTCTTTTTTACAATTACACTGAATTCAAAATGCTTAGTACATAAAGGCTGTTACTACACAGCAGGTCATCAGATGCAGTAAAGATGAACTTGCATTACTACATTACAGGAGTAGACGTTTGTCTTGGTCGATTGCAGCATAACAAAATAGTGCAGTGACGTGGATTTGTACCTTTTGTGACCTGAACTGTTGTGCTGCTCCCAGTCTGGAGATAAATTCTCTGTGGATTTTAAAGCTGGAACATTTGCTCTACTACTTTCCTTACTTAGAGGTTACATGTCAGTTTTCTTTTTAAGAGAGGTTTTTTTTCTCTTTAAAATAAATAAAACCACATTTTTAATCATGTTGGTGCAAAATAAGTCTATGTGTGGCATTCAATGCTACCCACTATATATAGTTATATATAATTTATAGGAAACACAGTGATTTAATTAGTGATAACAGCAACATGTGTCTCAAATCCCTGAGGCTAGATCATTTCTTTACCTGCTCACTCCCCTTTCCATAGGTCGTGGTGTCGACAAACATTGCAGAGACATCCCTGACCATCGACGGTGTGGTGTTTGTAATTGATCCCGGATTTGCCAAGCAAAAGGTGAGCTTTCCTTCTTCCCAGCCCATCTTCTCCCACAACCCTTTATCTGCTGCGATCATCTGCTTCAGTTGCCTGACAATCTGCAGATAAACATAGCGGTGGCAAAGATGGAAAAGCCATTTATTTAGCTCTGACATTTCACCGGCTTCCAGCCAAGTCAGACATGTGGTGTAAGATGATACTATGAATGCAATGTAGTGGATTGTGTGTATGTGTGGTTGTAGTTTTACTAAGCTGTTCAGGTATACAGAAGATTAAGTCTTAAAGAGGGTGCCTTTTCTACATCAGGCTAAAAATTGAATTTATCTGCCGCCTCTTCTTCACAATGCCAGGTGTATAACCCACGTATAAGAGTGGAGTCGCTCTTGGTGACAGCCATCAGTAAGGCATCAGCGCAGCAGAGGGCGGGTCGCGCCGGGAGAACCTGTCCAGGAAAGTGTTTCCGCCTGTACACAGAAAAAGCCTATAAGACAGAAATGCAGGTAAGTGAGAAGACTGTTTAAAGGGAAAAATAAAAGTTTGACGAGGAAGTAAACAAGGGTTTGATTATCATACCTTAGATTCTTTAGAGCCACTAGCACTTTGCATCACCCTCAAGCTGCCTGCCAGTTGGAAAAGCTCTCTGTTATACAGCATTTGCACAGAACTCTCCATGATTCCCAGTTTGCCTGAGTTATATTCCTGAGAACTTGCTCCTGAACCCATCCTTTCTCAAAACCTGTTATAACGACACATCCACCTAGTGACAAATGAACCCACAGACTCCCACTTCTCTGCTTTAACTGGGTAATTCTTTCACATCATGAGGGGTAGTAAAATAGCCCCTGGAATGCTGTGTTGATGTATGAACAACACATCAGGTAATAGCAAGTGCCCAGGCCAACACATTTTAAAGAAGATGTTGCATTTCTCTTGACTGACACAGGACAACACCTACCCAGAAATCCTAAGGTCGAATTTGTCCTCAGTGGTGCTGCAGCTAAAGAAGCTTGGCATCGATGACCTGGTGCACTTTGACTTCATGGATCCACCAGGTCAGTCTTCAGAACTCTTTAGCTTAAAAAAAAACATGTTTTTGTTTTTAATCTATTGCTCAAAATGTAATTGTCTTTTGACAGATTTGACAGCTTGCTGCTATTGAAAGCCTTAATATTTCAGAACCATCCAGTGCTAACCAAATCCTATTACCCTAAATGATTTCATTTGACCAATAAATCATGTTGTGCAGTGTTCATCAGCACAGCTTCAAATGGTTGGCACATTTCTGATGCACCTAGATAGATCGATAGATAGATGGACAGACAGACCTTTATTAATCCCTTTGGAGTTCCATTCAGGAAATTAAGGCCTGTAGTAGAATAGACTACAGTAGGTGATGTAATGCACCAAACAATATGTAGAACTACAGCTGAAACCTAAAGAAGAAGAACAATCGGCTCCACAGGGCTTTGCACTATACACCAAGAAGTACAACATTACTTACCAAGCATTACTCACCAAGCACTTGCCAGTGCTTGGTGATTGACAGCTAGCTTAGATGCATCTTCCCCAAGTGTCTCTTTTTCACTCCTGGGCAGTCACTCGTCCCATTGTATAACCTGTTTTTTGTTATTAAAGTTTGGACCAAGTTATAGTATTGGCCCAATATAAACTATGTTGTTGCATCAGCACGTCAGCTCACGAGTCAGGTCATCGCAACTGCATTCACAGCACACCTTCAGGAAAGATAAGTCATCGCAACTGCATTCACAGCACTACATTCACAGCACACCTTCAGGAAAGATATTCAGTAATATCAGATATTATCATATTATCATATTATATAATATCATATCATATCATATATTATATTATCGTAAAGTTGTAGTATTTACCTGTAAACAGTAAGCACAAAATGTATACCTTTTTTGATTTTAGGTATAATCAAATCAATTTTACAGCAATAATTGTTTTTTTAATGAAAAAAAAGTTGTAGTATAAAAAATACAGTTGGAACACACGTCAAATTTAGTGCATTTTCACCTTAAGGTTTAAATACCATCTTACAAGTCACAGTCAAGATGTACAGTAATTACTAAAATCCACCAACTCAACAAAAAAAAGAATGAAAAAAAAAACCCTGTGAGTTATACTTTTGCATATTTTCCTTGACATCAGTTGGGTTACCGTAGTTACAAATAAAAACAGATGTGAAAGACATGCATCTACCTGCTCCATGGCAAAGCAAGATTTTGGCATATTTTGGGATGTTGATTCATCTTCACCTCTTGTGATTTATCTATATCGACCCTGTGATTAATCAAATCACAAATATGAATTGTTTGACCAACCTAGAAAATAACTTTTAGAGATTTAGACTGTAATGTTAACAGTTGCTGGACCTACAGTAATCATAGGATTTAAGAAATATATTTTCTTATCATCACTTTCACAGGTACTCAACCAACTAACTTTATCAAAGAACACCAAACCTGGATCTCCCCTTTCCTTCGATTCAGTACAACGAGTTGCTGTAACATCGGGCTGTGTGTAGTAAATGTGCATTTGTGGTGTGTAAAATTGAATCTGGGCCGGCTGTGTCACTGGGGATCTAGTCCTAGACTACAGAGCCAAAATAAAGTGATCTGAAAGATATCAAATTCTGAATAGTGGAGGAGATTTGTGGATAAGAGCTTTGTTTTACATCTCAGTAGCATTTTCCTGTTTTTATGAGACGCTGACGTGAAATTTCAATTTGAGCGAAGTGTTTTGTGGAGCTATGATTCTATTTGATTGGTCTGTTTATGCTCTGGCAGTCTCTGTAGGTAGTTCTGATTTCTTGTAAATCCAAAATTATCTTGGATCGATTTCAAAACACAGACCCTATTTCACTGTGACACCAAGTTATGGCATTCCTCAGCGCAGTGTGTGTTCCTACATCCTGCCAGGAAGACCACTCCCTCCTTCTCCCCTCCCTTACACTCCCCCCTCCCTTTTCTCACCATAATATAGTTTTCATCTCACCTCTGAGATTAAACCCATCTCTCCCCGTCCACTGTGGCAAACGCCATTTTGAGAATGAAATTGGTTACATCAATAGTAGTGCTATCACCTTGGCTATTGCCTTCCCTTTATATTCCTCCAGTGAAACGTGACTGACCTCCACCACCACCCCCACAATTCTCACAAATCGTACAGGCAGGCGTCAGCATATGGGATTGGCCTTGTCTGCCGAGTCTAACTGGGTGAGGGAACAAAGGGGAGGATTAGCTTTTTATTTATTTGATCCACTCGTGGCAGAAGGTTTCTCCTAACTAGCCCCTGACTACACTGCGGGCTGAAAATGGTTGAGTGCAACAAATGATGACTGCATTGTCTGAATGGTTTCGGTGCGAGGTCCTGGACAGGCACTTTATGATCTAGTTACAGTGGTTCAATTTCACTGCTCTGTTTCAAAGGCCTCACTCACAGCTAATTCACTGGTCAAAGAAGTGTCTCTGTTGAGAACAGGCGCCAGCACTACTAGGAGATTTTAAAGAACCTTCTGAAGCCACATCAAGGACGTTTTCATACTGGGTTGTCCAAGTACTATTTTTTTTGTAAACCAATATGAGTATGTTTGTATGTATACTAATTTTTCTGGGTATCAATACATTGACAATGAACTACAGTGGGTGGCACAGCTTTGTGGATAATAGGGGCATGTGCAGCGTGTAAAAGTAGCCTCAAACCAAACCACAGGGAAAATATTAAGCAAGGAAATTCTTAGTGAGAGTTACATTTCCTTCTCAGAACGCTATTTACAGCCAAAATGACAAATATTTCTGAATTAAACTAAACAATCTTCAAACTGATACTGGCGTCACATTAGACAATATATCAGTAAAACTAAGGAAAACTAAATGGAAATCATCTTAAAAACATAAAGATAAATAAACTCATAATTCTGCATTGTTAAAACAGTCAGTTGAACAGAAAGTGACCAGAGCTTTGGCCCATTTCAATTTTGAAATACTGTCTCCTGCTTTGCACAGGAGAACATACAAGGTATCACTTCAGCTCTGTCATAACAGATTTGGTAGACAAATGTACATGCACACATGTACTATTGTCAAATAACTAAATGAAAGAATGCCTCATCTGTTTGCTGTTTTTTTTAGCGTATTCACTGATGTTATTGAGTAGAAGTGGAGTTTCAGTCACAATACCAGTATCAGTATCCCTGTATCCCAGCTGGACACTGTAGAATGACATTTATTGAATATGATTTAAACGATTTGATCTGATGATAGAATATCAACCTATCACACTCCACTATCATGTTTTTAAATCTATAACCTTGTAAACAATTCTAATGGAACCTTGGTTTTCTGTGAAACCCTTCAGTATAAACTGTTCTTTTCTTCTCACTCACTGCTGACTAAACACTGGGGAACTGATGTGTACAACCTAACCAAATGGAAAATCCAAAAGAAATCACTAGCGATTCTCATAAGGACTATGCTGTGTGGGATTCATTTGCCTCCTGACATTTCCAAATAAGTAGCTTTCAAAACCAATATGGTTTAATGTACCTTTAGCCTTTCATCCCATTGATTCAGCCCTTGGTTAATATATCAGATTCTTGTCTTGAGGCAGTCAATACTTACTTTTCTGACGAGCTCAGTGGCGTATAGATTGCATTTTCACACTGCTTCATCATGTTAGTAGAAGTTGAAAATCAGATTTTCACTTTTTGTTCTGCCCCCATTCGAGCCACCTATTCTAGTATGGCCGGAACTCATTTTCATGTTTGTGTTGCTTTTTTTAGAGGCTCTAATGCTTCAAATCAATATTAGTTAATCATAAAAAATACTACCCTGCTGTTTGAAATTGAATTTTTTTCCTAAGCATTTGGTGGAAATGAAAGAGAACGAGTGCTGCGGCCAGTACTTACAGCTGATTTTCAGTTAACATGCAACTGGTCATTAGGCTTCAGCTCTCAGGAGCCAAAGGTCAATAATTGCATCTGGTGGAAAAAAAAATCTTTTAACCAAACAGTGAGGGCCTTTTTGTGTTGAAGCATTAAGTAGAAAGTTCTTCTGTAATTGCATCAGATGTTTAGGATTGCCTGAGCGCTGGATGAAAAATGATCTCTGCCATGATTACTTCTCCGTTAAGTTGCTGTGTCGCATAACTCTGGCCGTCAGCCTCGCTCTCATTTGGATTCACCTCATGCTGCCTGTAAGAAATTGTGCAAACAAGTCTCTCTTTGTTTGAGTGTCAGTGTCTTTTCTTTACTCAAATTTGTCTTCGATTGAAAGTCCATGTACCAGTAGGTATTGAAACTCCATTGTATTCAGAACTCCTATTTTCTCATCTAATCATTTATTTTATCTTACCCTTTCTTGATAAAATAACCATCAAGTACATTTTTGACCCTTATTTTTGTTGAACATTTTTTTAAATTGCTAAAGGTGTTATTTTGGACAGATTTATCCATTGTATTTAAATGTTTTATATATTTGACTTCTGGTAGCTTAATGCTAAATGTTGCAGGTGAGAGCTGTCGACTTTCAGATTTATTTTCCCCACATTAACATTTCATTTCCGCTTCATTGAAAGAACCTGTCGTCTAGGTTCTGTTGCATGTAACCTGAAGTTGCACTCTATGGACTGAGCTGATTCACTTTCAAACCCTGAAGAGTTATATTTTTTTAGAGTAGTTGCATTGATTCCTCTAAGTTTTGATCAGTCCTGAGGCTTCTGAAATTTTCCGGAGAGTTGCAGTAATGAAAGAAGTTTTGACAGTTTTGTCAGCACTGTGTGTTTTTGCCCATGGGCCTGGAACATTTATAATGGCCAGTCTCTCCCATCTTGCCTCCACCAGCCCCAGAGACCCTGATGCGAGCCCTGGAGTTGCTGAACTACCTGGCAGCGCTCAATGACGACGGTGACCTGACGGAGCTGGGTTCCATGATGGCAGAGTTCCCTCTGGACCCCCAACTGGCCAAGATGGTCATCGCCAGCTGTGAATTCAACTGTTCCAACGAGATCCTTTCCATCACTGCCATGTTGTCAGGTAATGCTCATGGCTGGCCCTCTGTGGGGATCTGAGCGACTATCCATTGCTCTTGAAATGTGGCTCAAAATAAACCAGCCACTTGAGGGACACAGAGGGCAGCTCCTTAATATGTTTATAATATATTCATTATAGTTGTTTAATTTTTTTTAACTAAACTTTGTTTTTTGTACATGGTGCATTAAAGCATTTACAGGACATTTTAGTGATGCAGACTTACACTTTAAATCTTTCCATAAATAACAGCACATTACTGACCTTAACTACAGTGTAAGCAGAGGCCCAAGCCAGCGTAGTCAGCTGTATCTTGTAAGAAAAGTGGGAAAAATACATGTCTGGACAAAATGTGGCCCACCAGCTCTACTCTTGCAGTAATTGCACTCCAGCCGTCACAAAGCAAAACGCTGCTCATTGAGATGAATCTTGAAGTCATTGAAGGGACTCCGAGGGTCTTTGAGAGTAGAGGAAATGCATTTCAATAATCGTCGGATGCAGTGGCCAGTTTATTAAGACTAAAAAGCAAAAATGGACAGGTTTTACATTTTCAGTGCAGCACTTCAGCAGCTTTGGCTGCAAAGAAATCAAAGGACATTTAAAATAAATTGAAAGTCCCTCGTTGCATAGAATAATGTCCAGACAAGAGTTTGGGTGTTTCATATTTGCCATGTCTTGTGTTATTTCTACTGTACATATCTTGTCAAATTTAAAGACCTGGCGAATACAGTGTGCCCTGTAAAGTGCTCTGTGCCTCTCATCAGCTGAGGCCTTGTTCCTCTCAGTGGGATTTGCTTAACTTATCCACATGGGCGGCTGTGTTGGGGCCCATACCAACCTTGTTTAGTCCCACAGTGCTTCGTTCGACCTACGGAGGCTAAGAAGGTAGCTGACGAGTCCAAGATGCGCTTTGCCCACATTGATGGAGATCACATGACGCTGCTCAATGTCTACCACGCCTTCAAACAAAGTGAGACACTCAGGTATAGCACAGAATAGTTTTCATGGTTTTATTCGTTTTCGGTGAACTTTATTCTCTTTACTCTCTACAATAGACCATGAGTCCACTCAGTGGTGCTATGACAACTTTGTCAACTACCGCTCACTGATGTCGGCTGACAATGTACGTCAGCAGCTGTCCAGGATCATGGAACGCTTCAGCCTGCCGCGGCGAAGCACAGAGTTCAACAGCAGAGATTATTACACCAACATCCGCCGAGCCCTGGTCACGGGCTTCTTCATGCAGGTCAGTCAGTCAGGGTGTCATTTTTCAGTAAAAAACACATTTATAAATTACATTCCTCGGATAAGGAGTCATTCATTCCACTGTTCATCATAGCTTTAATTCATAAATGCCTTTATTCTTTTTTCTGGGTTCTGTTTTATGGTTCCATTCCTGTGATATGTTCACATTAACTTAAGAATGAACTGATTAGGGTTGAGTGTCAAAAGGTCATTCCAGTGTCACTGAACACACTTTTTGTCCATTACTGGCTAATGTGCAAATTTTCCCTCAAATGTCTAATTCGATAAAATGATGAAGTGGTGACATTTTATATCCAAAAGGTCAAACAGGATCTGCAAAAACACTTCTCTGGTCATTATTCTACACCATACCTCAGGAGCAGCAGGGGAAACTGTGACAATGTTTCCTCCATTGTGAAGGTCTGACCCAGAAAAACAAACACAGGGCAGTAATTAATAGCACCTGATTAGTTTGTCAGCTTAGCACATTCTGTCTTTTACAGTACAGGTAACCCGGTGCTCACTGACTTTTGCTGCTACTGTTCTCTTTAATCACATTGAAAACCGAATGTTTGCCCTCACTAAAAATGCAGCTTGGATGTTTATGGTGATGAACAAATGCCATTAAAAGTATAAACCAACATGCGCGGCTGTTTTGTTTTAACCACATAACAAGAAATCACATCAATTTGTGCCTCCCTCATGGAAACAAATGGCATTTAGCAAGGAGCCATTTTCAAGGCTACCTGAAACAGGCCACCTGACAGGTTGAATTATGGCACTAATATTTAAATATTTGTCAACATTAACCTTTATCTGGGAGACAAATTTGCGGTTCATGTTGGAGCTTTCGCAGCATTTGAGATCATGTCTTTGTTTGGAAAGGTCTTTATTGAGACTGATTGCCTTGGTTAATCACAGCAGCCGCTGCAGCTTCACAGGTGTCGGAAAAGTATGAGAATGGAAAAAAATGTCCTCCGTCTCAACAGATATAATATCTTCTGTGGCAGAGAAGTTATTTTTACGTCAAGTCACCGTAGCGTTTGAGCTGTTAAAAGAAAGTAGCTGTCTGTCTTTAAGGTAGTGTATACCATTCTGGCAACTATGGTAAACTGGCTGAATAACAAACTGCGGTCCAACTGTATATGTTTTTAGCCATAGTCAGACCCAGAATAATAAGAAAAAGAAGAAACTTCCACAAAATAAGTGGAGAGCCAAGATTGAACCTGGCCGTCTCGCAGCTTTTATGTTAATATATAGACTTTTGAAAGTAGTGCAGCCTTGGTCTTTTCTCCCACATGTGGCTACGGGTGACAAACTACTTCTAGTGTTAACCCGTTTACACATTTAACACGTTTATTTAGCTCTGTGCTGAATGAGCCACTTAGCTTTTGGGTTGCATATCGTAACGGTCTAGCAGTTCCGTGCAAATTCTCGTCTAGGCAGGAGGTACAGTATCAGTGCATCAGTGGAATGGCTTGTTTTATAGTCTGTAAGTTGGCTGTTATAAATGAATTACTTTGTTGTCAAAATTGGCAGTAGAGAGACACTCCAGATGCAAACATGTGTACTATGTAAATAAAGTCCATTTGTCAAAATATGTCCCCCTTTAGATCATAGCCCTTTGAGGGAATATAAAGTTACAATCTAAAATGTTGTTGTCCATGAACAGGTTGCTCACCTGGAGCGGACTGGTCATTACCTTACAGTGAAGGACAACCAGGTGGTGCAACTGCACCCTTCCACTGTGCTGGACCACAAGCCCGAGTGGGTGCTGTACAATGAGTTTGTGCTCACCACCAAGAATTACATCCGCACGTGCACTGACATCAAGCCAGAGTGGTAAGTTTAACTGTCAGTATACTATAGTGAATATTTGTGAGTATTTGTGCCTCCACAACACAAGAAAAGGGTCAGATGTGCAGAAATTTCTGGAAGATATTATATATTAATTACATCAAACTGATCCGTGGTGTGTTAATATGTAGGAATGCTGCCCTCTGGCTACATTTCTCTATTTTGCAAATGACCAAGATGTATAACTAAGTGCTCCCAGACCACACTCCTGTGACATGTCCTTTTTATTCACACAACCTATTGAATTGACTCAAACAATTGAATTTGTTGTGTGAACATAGAGGGAGGTCTCTCTCTCTCTCTCTCTCTCTCTCTCTCTCTCTCTCTCTCACCTCCCCACTCTTTCTCTCTCTCTCACTCTCTTGCCCTCTCTGCCATAAGGAAACACTGAAGACAATATTTGTGACAAACGATGACTTTCTTTGTGTCCTAGGTTGGTGAAAATTGCCTCGCAGTACTACGCGATGAGTAACTTTCCCCAGTGCGAAGCGAAGAGACAGTTGGAGCGCATCATTGCGAAACTCTCATCCAAGGAATACAGTCAGTACTGAGAGGATTTGCTCCTACTGCAGCAGCGTCCTCCCTTTCTGTACATAGTCAAGTCTGAACACGTCGTATATTTTTCTTATTCACGCCGACGACCTCTTCTTGAACTCTTGGTCATACCATCTATGATGTATTTTCCTAATGATTAATAATTTGTGTCCAGTTGTGTTTTTCACGGCCAGTGCATCTCATCGCCTTTAGAGCAGTGATGCTGAGGCACGAAACAGTGACGGACAGTGCAATAAAACGGTTTTCAGTCTTCAGTTCCTGGAGTTTGCTGTTCATATCATAAAAAGCACAGTAGGTTGTCTCGGTCACATCCCAACACAAGCACACATCTCTGTAAAAGTGTCTAGAAAAACATTTACGGACTTTCCATCGCACCAAAATGTCTTCAGACAAATCTGGACAAGCGCTTGAACTTCAGCCCGTGCAGGAAAGCATCTAATGTCTGGTTGTTGGGAATTCTGTCCAATACGTGAGACACTATGTAAATAAAAACAATGCTGTTAATGACATGAATAAACAGACAACCCCTCTTCATGATGCTTGGTTTGGTTTGATTTTTGCATGTACAGCTCTATCATCATCAATCTATTACAAGAAGTACTGGACAAAATGGCAAGTGATTTAAACGATATACTATGGCATACACAGAAATACAGTATGAACTTCATACTACACTAAATATTTGTTCTGTCTGGGCAATCAGATTCTGATCTGCCAAATCCTGCTTGTTTCCCTGCTCTTTAGGGAAGTGAAATCTTCTTACTGGGATATTGATAGCTCCAGAAACAGCCAGAGTGAGGGGGAATGTTAATTACAAATGTTTGGGAACAAGATCAGTGTGAAATCCCTGCTGCGCTGTATCTTGTTCTGGCTGTAGTGCTTTGCGTCAGTGCCTCTAATGTGGATGGTATAACGGGGGGAATCTAGGTTCACACCACTCGTATCTCTTTGGTTTGTGTTGGGAAAATCGCTCCTCTTCTTTAGACTTGGCCTCAACTTGGTTTCCAGTGGCTAACCAGTGAGCGGTTCTTGGCCACAATAGAAAAAAGAAAACAAACATTGCCATTCATTCATTCCACGGGTCAACAGTTTAAAGGGCTCTGTGGCTGCTCAGGTGTAAATTCCTTATAGAGTTTGTAGAGTGGGGCCTAGTTTTGTCTTTGTCCCTTAGAATTCTGGGTCACCTGGGGAGTAACTGAGTCTGTTCACTACAAAGGACTGATTATTAGAAGTTGGCAAACAGCAGTGGGTTTTTTTTCAGCAGGTGTTTGTAGCTAAAACATTAAAGAAAAGCTGAGGCCGACCAGCTGTATATATACAGTATATGCAGTATATGTACATATATGTATATATGCACACATAAAGCCAGCTTTTAGAGAGTATCTTAACTTTATGTATTTAGTAGGGCTATCAAGTTTTTTAATCTGATTAATCACAGGGTAGCTGTATATTATTAATAATCTTGATTAATGGTCATTGTGATTATTCATGATTATGATGAATAATCGAGATGTTAAATATGAACATATAATAAAAAAAAACAAATCATGCAAATAATAGTATTAAATATATATGCAAATGTATAATTCAAAATACCACAGAATTGGTGGATTTTAATCATTTGCATTTTGAGTGTGGAAATTAACGCATGATTTTAGTTTAACCAGTTCCCTTCACCCTTTAACAACTACCTTATGCAAAGAGTTTGCTTTTGGCACACCATGAGATTTTTTCTTTAAAAAACATCCTGTCGGTTAGAACAACTTTGTTTTTCCTCTGCTGCACCTCGAGTTCACATCAGCTGTATGGAAATAAACAACGAAGTAAGGATAAGAGGCAGAAGTGAACCTGTAAGCGTTTTTCACAATCTCTGTAGTGTCTGGGAGCAGGCAGACAGAGATACTGGGGAGTTTTAAATTAGACCTGTGCATTGTATAATATGCTAAGTCAGGGAATTAGCATGTGTGCTTTAATATTTTTTGGACTTTTGGGAGGCAAGTTTTTAAGTAGACTGCCTTTGGCTGGGAACGTGCACAGGGCCACAAAACTGTGCCCGAGAGATGAGACTTCCTCCAAAGTGAAGCCGATAGAAAACCCATTAGTTTGGGCTGATTTGGAAATTATATGGAATTGATCCTGAGCTAGGAACAGTTTTTCATGCTCGATACTTCCCATTGATCCAGGCTGCCATAATTACAAATGAAAATCGTTACGTCTCCAAGTTGTGTTTTGTTATTGTCTGATGCGAGGTTCACGTGCTCTTACATCACTTGCTTCATCATTTGTCAGATTTTCTGACATGACTCTCAGATTAGATTAGAGTAAAAATGGAATTCCTCCTTTAGAGGTAACACTTCTATTCTTGTCCCCCTGCGCTGAGGCTGCAGGCACTTTTATGTTTCTCTTTGACAGTAGCTTAACAAAAATAGCAAACACAAACCGACAGTAGACGGGTATTGTTCAGCGTGTTTCCAAACAGTGTGAATCACCAGCCCACTACAGCTCAATCTGCCACCACCCACAGAGTGCTGGATGGTGCCTCATCATCATTTGAGGCTGTGGGTAGAGGGAAGTTTATTGCAAAACACCTCAGTGTCTCAGGAAAACCATCCGCCCCCTCAGTCCTCCTCCCAGCCCACGCCGGCCCTCTTCCTCGAACCGCGGCCGCCGCCAGTCGCAGCTGAGACAGGTGTCTTATCTCCATCGTGCAGTGCAAGCACAGCCAATCTTCCAGGAAGATGGCAACTGGAATGTGACAAATCCATCTGTCCTGGTTTGAATTTGTATGCTAATTTGAAATAATAGCCCCTCTGGTGACAGTGCAGGGGAACAATTCAATCACACCATCTATGACAGTTGCTTTCCAGCCTACTCTGTGATATGGGAGTATATGCATGTACCGCGGGGTTAGGCTTGATAGATTGGTTATGTGGGGAAGATGTGGCATGTAGACTGTATGTTTAAAATGGGCTGCCAGTTTGAAATGAGTCACGCAACCAGTGAAGGCACCTGTGCGGAAAACATGCAGCCACTAACTGTCAGCGAAGAGAAGACGATGTGTGATTTGACCTCATTTACTTTCCTTCTGTGCAGCTGCCCCGGACCTTCGCATAATTTCTCCCTTAAAGGCTACAAAGGCCTAGGTGTAAATGAAAGAAACATATCCTCACATGAAATCGCACTAACACAGTTGTTCCATTGTCACACTGAATTATCTCGAGCTGTTGATTTGATTCAGCAAAAAGCTTTCATGTGTCACCGGGCAGAGGAACACAACGGCACGGCTGGAGCTATGTCATATGTTTAGGAGAGGAGCTGGCTTTGGAGTTTACAGTGATTTCTCTTGCACCTCGATGCTCCCCTACGCAAACGCATGGCTCTGTCTAATCTTTAAATGAATCTACAGCACAGGACAGATTATGGCTGATGGTGACAGATAAGAACAAACGCCTCCACGTTTCTGCTTGCATCGTTCTTTTTCTTTACGTCCAAATCACAACCTGTGTTCTCCAGAGGCACAGGATTGTTCTGAGATTTTCATTAGAGGACCAACAGACAACCTTCATGTCCCCGGAGGTTGCTGTTTGGACAGTGTTGTAAAGATGCAGCTGTAGCGAGATGAGATACACCCCCTGTACAAGCTCTTATCTGTAGAGACACAAAAGAAAGGCTACTCTGAACTTCCCCACCATCAGGATTTATATCTGCAAAATGTAGAAAAGGAAAAGGAAGGAAAAGTTTTTAAAGTTTAGGCAAGGACCTGATATTGTGATGTCTTATCTTTCTTCAAAGACAAAGGACAGCATATAATCAGCAGTGTCTTTAAGTATGAAACTGTTTATACTTGCAATAGTGTATCTGCATAATGTGTTTACGGTTCTATTTGATCATTTCTTGGATTGTTTTAGGCAACCCATTCAATCCAAACATTGATGCAGAAGAAGAGTTTTCTGACATTTTTGCCAACCATGCTTTAAGCTGGTCGGTTTGAACAGTATTGTCTTAACCAGAAAGACCAGCTCTTAAACCTGGATTTCCTGTCAGTTTTGTAGCCAACCAAAGGTCTTAGCCAGACAGCTACATCAGATTAGCATATACAGTTCATCACATAAAATAGGGGCTATAAATTCCCGACCCAGCGGTCAATTCTGGCCCATGACCCCCATACCCCACACCAACAAGATGTTAATAATAATAACATTTTGCCTTTAAGGAAATTATTAACACTTAAATGTGTTATCTGATCATTTAATAATGGAGAAAAAAAAACATGCAATGGCTGTTAAGACTGTTGAATTTAAAATTTATATTAAACAAACAAGATGTGGCCTTTCAATTAAATGAAGGCGGCGCTAGTGCTCATTTAATGCTCATTTAAATTTGAGAACCCTGGCATAGACAGACAGTAACATACAGTATCATTTTCTTTCATGTCATATACTGTATGTTGATCACATAATGAAAGAGTGGTCAAAGGTCACCAGTTCAATTCCCAGTGCTTCCCTCAGGTCTTTCTGTACACAGATTGAATCCTTATTGCATGCGTACAGGTTTCTCGAAGTACTCTGGTTTCAACATGTGCAGGACTAGATTATGAGTGGTCGGAAATGAATGACTGAATGGATTAGATATATTGAAAATGACTTTTTTCTGTATCCTATGAATTTTGCTACTTATTGTAAGATTGGCAGTTTCTAAGAATTGGGGTGTAAACAAAAAAGTTGTTTTGCCGTGGGCCACATTGGGCCACACTATAGAATCTCCAGGATAGTTTGGTTCCATTTTCATTATGAAACCCATATTTATAGGTTGCATCTGCAGCAGTTCAGGTCCATAGCTATTTTCTACATGATCTCATCTTGTGAGATGTGTAGGACAGGAAACCTCTCCTGTCATTTTCTGTCATCTAGTGCTCTCACCACTGCAGTCCACTCCACTCCAGTTTGCGCAGGAGAGAGAGAGAACTCTGCAGCTCTGCCATGCCAATTGACCACACTTCAAACGACTGCACATCATGCGTGGCAAACATGTCTGATCAAACAAGGAGGCCGGCAAAGAAAACTGATGAACAAAGGGACCCTTCTAAGTGCGCACGCCTCGCTTCTGGATAAATAGGGTGCTAAAAGACAGCTCCCTAAATGAGCTCTGTGAGGAGGCCTGCTTGTAAAGCTTTCAGTGGACTGAAAGATTTTCAATGCTTAGCATGAGTGCACATAGATAACACCACTCCTGCTGCACAAAATCACTTTCTGTCTGTAAAAAAACAAAAAAACAAAACAAAATAAAATCTTGACATTTAATGAAAAAAGGACATTTTGTCTTGGGATTTATAAAATTAATTATGTTCCAGCCAACAAAGCGTTTCTACGTCCATGCCATGGCCTTCACTTTGGACATGATTGATTTGGTAATATGAGCTTGAAAGGTTTTTTTCAGTTTGTAACAGTGAACTCTTAAATATTACAAGCTACATCTGCGCTCCGTGTTCACCTTTATCTCCAAACAGGAGCTGGTTTAATCTTTAATGCTCTCAGCCC